CAGGGGACTTGTGATGCTTGTATTGCATTTTGTGCCTCCAGTTCTCTTTGCTGCCTTTGTTCTTCCTCAATTACATCATTCTGCCCTTGCTCATTTTGCCCTCCAAGTCCCAGATCATTTCCTTCTTGATGTGGTAGCTGGAGCTCTTCCAGCTGCAGTTCCACAAAGTCTAGACAACCAAAAGGCATTCCAAAATCATTATCCCTGCAGGCTTGCTGTGAGGCAGACCAATTTCAATGCTGCTGAGAAGCCCTTTCAGCAAGATGTTGCTGATGAGATAATGTTTGCATAGGAGGAATGAGTGATGATATAGGGACTGCATTGACAGTAGCAAGATTTGTGGCAGCAGGTCCAAATGGCCTTTGAAGTAATGGGTCCAGTCTCTGGTGCTCCAAGTTAGCACTCTGACGGCTAAATACTGGCTGTGGAATGGGGGTGCAATCATAGGGCAAGCAGGCATGGCATTCACTTGGTGATGTCAAGTTTTCTTCATGTCTTGCACAGTCTTCACTTCTCTGTGAAGAGCAGGGTGTTGTAGGCTCCGACCTACACCAATTAAGTTCCCTTTAAGCATACCCTGCAATCCCCTTCAAATCCTGATTCACTTACATGATAATATGCTTTGTGTAACAGTTCACATTTTTGTTTGTTTTGTGTGTCTTGTGTTCTATAGTCAAATACCAATTAATTTCCAAGGGTCAACCAACATTCAACAATCACACACTTTATTTTTCCACAGTGGCAGCAGTAACAATGTGAATAATTAATTATTTGTGTTGTATGGGTCTGGATACTATCAATTATTGTTTTGCTTCCTTCTTCCCCACATAGTAGGAAACAGACCCTGACACCCCTATCCAATCACCTTATGAGCGTGATGTTTTTGGGAATCTATTCACGCGCCTCCGGAAGTGTGTCACAATTTTTGTTTCAATTTTTTGTACATTTTTTGTACACTTTTGTGTAGTCAGAAAATTATTAAATTTTATAATCTTGCTATTAGAAAGTGTACAAATGTGAGCTAGGGTCCGAAATCCGCGTCGCATTTGAGGGTCTCACCCGGGCTCTTACAATCCAGTGTACACTTTTGTACACTTTATACACTTTTTTGTAGTCCAGGTAATTTTTATTAATAGTTGTATTACTACTCTAATACAAAATGTACTAATTTCTGTCAGGGTCCGACATCCGCGTCTAGCACCCCCCAAATGCCACGTGCGCTTGTCTACACCGCCACGGGGGGTCGCTATTAATTATTAGATGACACTATACTGCCCAACCTGCGGTACAAGGGACGGCCTCGAGGCTTATGCGTGCCACCTCAACCCATTCCCCATTCGCGTCTTCGCCGTTGCCATGTAGGTTACAATGGATCGTCATGTACAAGGGACATCCTATCCTTCACTGTCAATATTCAGAGGAATATCTCACACAATACCGACCCCGCGGGTTTCCCCCATTACCTGCTTCTGGCTTACGTATAACTCCTGCCGGATTGGCGACCGGTCCTCCCATGCGCCCATCAAGTGCTTCTGATCCACTAACTGAAGCACTGCGCTGGCACCCCGCCCGATACTCCACAGCCCTGGCCATCCCACACGGTCCACAAGTCAAGAACGGACATAACGGGACTGGTACACATTTCGCAGCAGCCTTAAATTTTGGAAACGGCTTGGTCAGGGCACAGCCCGCCGACCGGGAGATTGACGAGTTCTCCCTGGGCTGGAGGACGATCCACGAGGGCCATCGATGGTGCATGAGGACCAGGGGCATGATCGCGGATCGCGGATCGCGGATCTGCGAAACGCCTCACACTGAGTGGTCGGGGGAGGGTGGTAAATCTCACACCGATATGGTAGGAGCCGCGGCCCTGCTCTTCCGGGTTCCGCAGCCTGCTCTGATTTGGGGGCTGTCCGACTGGGACGGCCGGGCGGAGTTCAGTTGGTTCGGGCTGGAAGTGGGTAAAGAGTCTGCCTCGGCAGTTGTTGGCCGCCGGAGGGTGGAGGAGCGCTGACGACGAGAATGAGGAGGTGAGAATTAAAGACACTGATGGAGGAAAGAGACTGTTGGTCAGGAGGGGCTGAAGGAAGAGGCAGATCTGGGTCAGAAGCGCTGTGCACTCTGGGAAGTTGAAAGTGGAGAAGGGCAAATGTAGAGGACGTCAGAATCGGGAAGTGTCGGACGGTGAGAAGGAGCTGGCTTAGAATGTTGGAAGAAGAATGGGGAATCGTAGACCGTTGGGTTGCATGCGATGCGGAGCGCCTGAGGGATTGTAAGGGGAACGCACACACAAGCTGTCTACTCCGGATCATGCAAACAAACAATATTTTGTACAACAGGGAGTTGTAAAGAACATATTCCCAATATACGGAACAAAGGTCCGAAAAATGGCGCGGTCTCGTTCTTATTCGCGCCCTGAATCGGTATCACATCTCTGAGGAGATCAGCTTGCTGACTCGGTTTAGCAAGAACTGGCAAAGGGTCTGACAATGAGAGTTTCTTTTGGGCGCTTGGGGGATGATGATTGGGTACCGGAAGTCCCCGAGGCTGGATCCGACTGTCTGTTTGGAACCGTTGGAACCGTCGAGACCGCTGTGGGACCTGCGGAGCGAGAACGGGCCCGAGATGAGGATCGGCGAGTGGGCAGAAGAAGGGGAGGGGGCACGAGCGCGTAGAGTTCAGTAAGGTGGGCATGGACATAGGCTCTGGCCCGCGGACGTCTGCTGGGTCACGATCCTCGCTTGGAAAGGAGCGCTCCTTTCCAAGCGAGGATCATAACAAGCTAGCTTGTTATGGTTCAGCTTGGACGCCACACTGACTCGGAATGGTCAATCTACATCGCGGCATGTGCAATTTTGTGACAGTAAGTGGAGAGTACTGTGCTAGTGCTGGAATGCTAATGCCTCTTGGGACAAACCTAACGTGCGTGCGGGAGTACTCTATCCAGGATCCAAGGTTCAGTTGGGTGGGCGACGTGCCTCCCCCGTGAAGCGTGACAGTTGTGATGGACGTGCCGCCTGCCTGTCATTAATGTTATCCTGCGTGGCTTGCTCGAGGCCTCGAGTACGAGTGCTCTCAACTCTCGACGTGGACGTTGGCAATATGCAACTCCGACGTTCACCCGGTTCGCACCGGCCGTATCACCTCGGATTCCTCAATTCCGTACAGGTGGGTGACTTGGAAAAACACGTTCAGCGACCGATGGTGAAGAAAGAAGGGCCGGCCCGTCCCGGACGTTGAGATCGGATAAAGTATTAGTGGGGCGGAGATGTGCTTCGGAGGAGGGAAGATGTGATATCTGTGACGTGTATACCTTGAGAAGTTGTGTAAAGTGAAAGGAGAATCCAGACCTCTGCGGGGGCAGTTTTTGCGCACTCTTCCTTTTCCGCGCGGTTCCGCCAGCGAATTCCGTACTCGGCGGGTCATGCTGTGCTTAGGTGAGCGTGGTATGGAACAGACCCTTGAGGGTAGACATGAGAAAGAGGGGCACGAAGTTGAGTCAATACATTCGATAAGCCAGACCCTGTCGCACGAGGAGTGGGCAGAATGGCCGCCCCCCCAGATGGTGAATAGAAGTTAGGTAAGCTTGAATCAGATGCACACGACTGGGAGTGTATGGGTGGCCACACGGTTAATGCAGTGCCTGTGAGAAGGGGGAAGAAGGGGGAGGGAATAATCCCAATTGGTTTGTTGCTGTGATACGTGAATTGCTGTGATGGAAACTTATGTGAACATCCAGGAATTGTGATAAGTTATTGATTTGATTGCATTCCAAGATGTACCAAATTTCTCACTTTTGGTCCGCCCTCATCGCCACATTGAAGGGCCCAGAGAGTGTAATTCAATCCCATTTCACCACACATTCCAGTCCCTTTCTCCCCTTCTCCCCCTGTCCCCTCCCATCTTCCCCTTCCCCTCCCCTCTCTCTCCTCCGTCCACCATCTCATTCCCTCCTCGACATCTCCGGTGTTCCCCTCGACCTCCTCTCCGACGTCGAATGTCAACAGTACGTTCTCCCCTCCAAAGTAACGCGCATATAGCTGCTGACCCTCAACCCAGCTACTGACCAACACCCTCACGTAAACGATCCTCACCCTGACAGGTACCGAGACGCGCCTGTCTCGCTCGGCAGTGATTGTTTTCCCTTCACTGCTGCACAGGCGATATCCTCCACTCTCTGTATCACACACCGTTTCCCTTGCGCACCCACCGGCACTCTCTTGCCCGTCGTCTACTGGCCGTAGCTCTCTTGCTGCGCATCGCCGGTAACGCGCATCGCGACAGGAGGTTTCTCTGCTGCTCATTAGGTCTGTACACCCAGTCCGTGCCTTCTAAACCCCTCCCGCGTTTCTAACCCTTACGCCCTTTCAGGCCACCCTCTCCTCTAAAACACGATGGCCTTTGCAGACGTGCCTATCAACTCGCAGAACTACCGTCGCGCGATCGTCAAAGACTGCCCGGAACACTACACCGCCGTGCTATGTGACCCTGTCAAGCTCAGCGGCGCGTGGCATTACGGAGTGTACGTCTCGCGCGACCCGGTGTATGCACACGCGTCCAGCTCTTCCGCCGCATCGCAGTACTCTACCCGCTCAGGGTCGCGCAGCACATGCTTTTACATTCGCAGGAAGTGGGAGGATTGTCTTGATTTGCAGAAGATCCTCGAGACGGAGCTGGTGATGCTGGAGAAGGCGCGGAGGAAAGGATCGGCCAAGGAACCTGCACAACTCTACCCCTCTGATCGCGCAGCCTCCTTCGAGTCCTTGCCATGTGGGGATATGCTTTTGGGTGGCGCGGAGAGCATGCCCAAGTTGAGCAGGAAGAGCAGTTTGTTCAAGGCCTCCCAGGCGATGATAGGAAAACGGCAGACGGAATTTGGCGCGCTCGTAGCTTGGTTGTTTGGTGTGGACAGCGCGCTCACGGAGGACCTGAGGTTCGCCAAGCCCGTCAGGGAGTGGTTCTCGTACTGGAGGAGCGATAAGGAAACCGAGAGCAAAGTGCGTCCGCCTAATACCCTGCAACAACAACAGCCTCCCCTTTCCGCACCGGCGTTCCTCACCGGCCGTGGAAGGCAAGAGTCTGTTTCCAGCATGACGACCAGCACCACCATGTCCGACGGGAGCAGTTACGCGCCAGTGAGCCCGGAGATGCGTCTCTTGCGTTCTTCCCGCTCCAGCATGACCATGTCCTACCACAAGGCGAGGCCTCTGTCGGTGATGACGGATATCTCGGTCCTCTCTGACGACTACTATGACGAGCTTGCCCTCACTATGGACTCGTTCCCTGTCCCCCCGCCGCTGGAGGACGACGTGGTGCGCTTGCTCAACCCCATGCTGAGAAAACGCGCTGCATCGAGCGACCAGCTCTCTCGCTTGGGGCTGATGACCCCTGTCCCCGAATACGAGCCGTCGATCACACCTGGAGGTCTCTCGCCCATCCCCCCATCCCCCCTCGAACCATCCCCGATCATCCTCCCAGAAGATGTAGAAGAACACCCTCTGCCTCCGCTCCCTGCCCCATCCCCGATTTTAGCATCCCCGAGTTCTCAGGTCTTCCCGATCACGGTAGACCAGCCCCGAGCTTTCCTCCCGATCAAGCCCAGCAAGCCCCGGCACTGGCGCTCGATGCTCAACCTTCGCGACTCACGCTCCTCCCTTTCCATGTTCCCGTCTCCTCCCTCGCCCCGTCTTGCCACCCCACCGACGGATAACAACGTCCGCCCACCGATTATGCGCGATCAAAGGCATCTTTCGATGCACGCGCGCTCGAACTCCAAGCACAGGAACGGCATGTTCATCTCTGCTCCTAACACGCCCCATCTGGGAAGCGCAGCCGAAAGCGGGTTCCAATTCGGTCAACACGCAAGTCCGGCCCTGACAGCCCATTCTGCTGGCTCTGGACCATCATTTGGCCAAGGCAGTCCCATGGAAAGCACCCCCGATCTGGAGCAGACCGGACTTGCGCTCCTTGGTACGCAGTCTAGTCGCTCTAGCCTCTCCTCGGGCGACGTCGGTAGTATGCCGTACTCCGCTCCCGTGGGAAGCAGTAGCAACGTCCTCCTCCCCGAAAGCATGTATTCTTCTGTCACGACGCTGAGCACGGATATCTCCGAGCCGCTGGAGTATGACCGACTAGTGAGCACTCCCCTGCCTCAGCATAGCGCGCGCAATAGCGACTCTACCGGGGCGGGGGTGGACGACACCATCGTCAATCGTATCATGCTCCGCGCGCAGCAGAATGGCATCTCATTGCGTCCTTCCTCGGGAGATCAAGAACTTATCGACGCCTATTTGTACGAATCGATCGAGGCGTCCCTCACTAGTCCTACCCGGTCGCTCGCTTCCTCAGCCTCAGACAATTATGACGACAAGTACGGCGCGAGCTGGATATCGATGGATACCGACGCGGAAGAGGATATGCATCCTATCCTGTTGGACAAGTCTCTCCCGCCCTCACCGATGACAGACACTAGGACTTCGTGGAGCTCTCGCTCGCCGAGAAAACAGAGCGTGACAGGGAGCATTTCCTCCCCTGAGCAGTTCCCAAAGCCTTTCCAGCATCGGCCGCCAGGGCAATTCCATCTCCCCTGGTCGACCCCAACCTCGCCTCCAAAAACACCACCTGGAGATGACGCCGCCTCGGGCTTCCCCATGTTCGTGGTCAAGGCATGTCATGTTGACACGGGCGCGATCGTCTCCTTCAAAGCGGCGCGTTCTGTGAACCTTCCCGAGCTCCGTATGCGTCTAGAACAAAAATTCCTCGACACCGAAGGCCTACGCCTGCAAGATCCTACAATCATCACTACAACTAACAACAACAACCAACAAAAATGGCGTTTGGCCTACTCGAAGAAAGGCCTTACCCAGCAAGCAAGCCGCCGCAACCTCGCCGCTTTCGCAATGTCTTCTCCGACCTCGCCCATGTCCCCCACGTCCATGACGTCTGTCTCGTCTCGTGCGCGGTCAGACTCGGGTACTTCCCTCGGCTCGGTGGAACTCGATAGCCTTATATTCATCCACTCGGACGAAGATCTCAGCGCCGCGCTCGCAGTTGCGGGCAGCGGCAAACTCACGCTGCACATCGTAGCGTGAACGTGTTCATCTACTTCGACTTGTTGTCTGTCATCTCAAAAAAAACCTGTGAATCACCTGTTTGCTGGTCATCTTACATACTGTATTTTTGGCTGTTTGCATCTACTCTGACTGTGTCTCACTCTCATTTCGTTTCCCTCTTGTCTCGTATACTTGGAAACACGTGTAGCCCTGCACATACACTCTTTCACCTTGGGATCTGCCTGTCGGCTTGTCTGTCTTTTCGTGATCTGCTCTGTTCTCTCTGTCACATACCGTACATATCGTACCCCTCCAGTACCTACCTCTGTATCTTAGAAGTTCCAAAACTCAAATTGTCGACATTCTTGTCTTACTTGCCGGAATTGGAGAATAAATGTCATTCCTGCATCCATATTATTGTCCCTTAATCGCCTCTACTTCGGAAGCCATCCAGCGGTTGCTCAATAAGTGCAGTGGGAAGATCTTCCTTCACATTGCAAAGGGTTCGTTGTAATGGGGTGGATCATCATTCAGTTCCGGTTGCTATCCACACATAGGAAGCATCCCTCCTCCGGGGTCCTGGTTATAGCAAGGCCCAGTCCCTTTGGAAGTGTGAAAGAATAGAGAGCGACCCTCCAGCTTAGCCTGCCCCTTACAATTCTCCGTTTCCAGATTGTGGCCTCGGACCGAGTTCAGCGCGGTACAGGCACCGTCCGCCCCGTCATACCTGTCAACCGGGGCCTGTCTCAGGGACCTCAAATAAGGTATGATATGGACACCTGTGTTTATCCGAGAAATACATGTGTGGCCGTGTTCCCCAGGAACGCGTTCATGAGAGACTGTGAGGATACAGAGTTTCTTTCAACGGATTAGTCACGGACAGCTGATAACGGTGTGGCTTCCACTCATGTTGGACAGCCCGATCAACTGTTGATCTCTCGGCCTCCGAAAGTAGATTCCGCACATAGGACCGTGCGCTCGGGCCTTGCCGTGCTTGGAATGGATAGTGGGAATCCTGATAGGGTGAATGGGCCAATGTGGTGTATTCAGAACGTGCGCTCGGACCATGCTGCGCCGCGACAGGTCGACGTCCGGTTTCGACGGGGAACGATCTTCACCCTTGCAGAATATCAGGGTGGTAGGATTGAGCGCTCTGCCCTGAAGTTAGCTGAAATTTTGACGGCCTTTGGGGGAAACCAGCATCAGCCGATAGGACGAGCCACCATGCGAAAGATTGTTAAGAGTACAGGCACCGAGATGTCGTGAAGCAGGTTTTGAGCCGCCGGCAGGTCATCTGGATACCAAACTTTGCCGAGAAGGTTTGCTTTCTCTGGAGTCATCACTTTCAGGGGTCTTTTCACAGTCCCACGTGAAGATCATTGCTTGTCGATCAAGGAGAGTCCGGCTATCAGTCCGGACTTGACGAGTAATACGATATAGGAAAAGTAAACCGAAGGAACATATCCGGCCAGATGAGGCAGATGGCGGAAAACTCGGCACAACTGCTTCCGAACTAGAGCTTCTCCAGATGATCGTATTGTCAGTTCTCGGTGAGAAGATACAGAAGCCGGTGATAATTTAGCTAGCGGATGTCAAGGTTGGTCGTCGAACTGTCGACCTTGACAGTTCGAAATGTTCAGTTCGAAATGTCACCATCCGACTTGTTCGTAGATTTCCGAGAAGAGGTCCCGAATTCCCATGGTTCTGGAGTAAGTTCAACCGACGGGCGTCAGGCCGGATCACAAATGGGGAAAATCTCCCGACAATCAGAGGGGTTGTCAAGCTGCCTGCTCGCCTGGCCTTTGTAAGCTCCCCACAGGACTCTTTCTGGAAGTAGAAGACATGTTTGGATGATACGCGAAGCAAGAAAATCGGTGCTAGTGCTGCGCCGGATAGATGAATGCCAGCAGTCCTGTCAAGCAGATGAACCCGGATGAAATGAAGGACCGTGCGATCTTCTCAGCTACCCCAGTTGCCGTGGCCAAATTTCTAATCGGGAGTCCTGGTCATCCACAGCTGACGAACAGAGCTGTGTACAGTAGGAAGGCGGCTGAGAATGTTCCACGCAACAATTGCTTGACATGAAATATTCCGGCAAGATGCGCGCCCTGGATTCTGATGCACACCATCAGAGATTGCGCAGGCCGGATAAACAGGAAAGCACAGGGACAGGAACAGCTTCATAACAGCTTCTAGCGTTGACGGACCATATTAGCGGTCTGATCCGCTGCATAGATCTTTAGGGTTGAATTCGATGAATTCGATAAACAATCGCTGGCGAGTTGGTGGGGGAATAACAACGCGGGGTTAGGCGGCACTCACGGGTTGATGACGCATGGTCACGTGGCTGTGCTGGTATTTACGAGAAACAATCGCTCGTGACCATTCAAGGTCCATCCGCCCGCATCACACAGCCGTTCGCCTTCACCACCTCTTCTGGTGACCTCATCGCCTCGGAGCTCAGGGCACACTTACAACAATCCCTAGCACTATTCAATACTTCTCTACGCTTACATCCACCATGTCCTATCGTACACAAACACGTATCCGATCCGACACGGACATGCCGTCGAACGGTTCAAGGACTCTCATCATCGACCAGTCACAGCCTCGGGAGGACAGCGCCGAAGAGTCCGGAGAATCATCTCGCCCTCGAGAGTACGACGGTGTGCTGCATCTACGTGGTGGACCTGATGCCAGGCCTCACGTCGTCTGGAGTGAAGATGTGATCGACAACGAAGGGATGGGCCGAAAGAAGTCAAAGAGTGCGTATTGTTACAATTGTATTCTGACAATGTTCCGCCCATTGTCAGCTCATTACGGCCAACCTGTGCTGACCGAGTGTTCTTTTCGAATAGTATGCTGCATATATCATAAGCCCAAACCATTCGACGAGTCGTCTTCTGAAGAATCAGACTCGTCAGACTCCGATAGCTCGGGTGCCGACCTCGATCGCGCGAAACCATCACGTCGCGCCCGTAAGCATCGTCATCACAACCACGATCCGCATCGGTCAGACTCGGGGGATTCGAGTGGCAGCGGTGAGCGCGCAAGAGAATCAGGGGGTACGACGGTGGAGGAGCTACATGATGAGCCTGAACCTAATGCGTACGAGCGCAAACCGAAGCCGTCCAAGAAGGATAAAGCGCCAGGTAAGTGCAATCAGAAGCTGAATTGAACAGATTCTCAAAGTTCGCCAGCAAAGAACTAACGGACTGGATGCCTCACAAAGGGTTCTGATACCGCGTATTACCTTATTCCTCCTTAGTATTGTCTTCACCAAATGTACAATGCTGTATGATCAACAATTGTTGGAAGTTGAAACCTGTCGGGCCGCGCGGATCGATAATATCTGATCACTCATGTGCATTCTCATGCGCTGTCATCTGATCCTACAGCATGGGTATCCAACAATAGCATACAATGCTTCATCCTCGCAGCACAGTGTAGTGTGATTGAACCCATGAGATTAAACATGGAAATACGTCGCATGGCATAGCCCGAGCATAGCGTTTTACATGGCAACCCATCGCACACTCCAGCAAGCATGCACATCACAGCTCCTCGTGCGCGCACCCAAGCTAAGCCATCTACTCAGTCGTGGGACGACCACGGCCAACCCCCATGAACCGCGGGCGGAACTCCCCCGGTGCACCACCCTCCTTCTTCTCGCCATCATCCCTGCGACGATAGCCATCACGATCGCCACGGTCACCACGTGCGCGGTAGGCACCATCGCCGCCTTCACGGCCACCACGCGTCCCAGCGGGTCTCGGCGGACGAGCAGCCTTCTTGTGGGTTGCGGGTACAATCTCAACGGGAAGGTGAAGGCTGCAGGCGCATCAGTATACTACACAGAAGGGGATTGATATCAGACGCACAACTCGCGCAGGTACTCGACGCCCTCGTTGGTCAAGCTGTAATAGTACCATTGCCAGGAGAACTGAGTCCTGACGTAGCCCTTCGACGTCAGGCTCTGCATGGACTTGATGACCTCCAGGTTGGGCACATCAATCTCGTGGTGCTTGGGAGCGTTGCAGTCCTTCTCAGCGACCATAACACCCTCTGTTCCCAATATCAGCCTCATGCATCATTATGCCGCATTGAATCACGCACCCTTGAAGAGGCTCTCGAAGATGACCTTGCGGTTTTGCTTGGAAATTATCATGCTGGGTGAGATGTAAACGACGGGCGCGAGTCGATAGCCGGCGTAGAGACTGTCGAAGTTATCGCTGGTACTCGCACTGTCGTAGTCGATGCCTGTCGTCCTCACCAGTCCGCTCAATGACATTTGGTTCCGCATTAACTGTACAACTGTGGATTGTTCAGGGCAAGCACTTACCCACACGGAAGTAAAATACGTCCTTGTGGGTTTGTGCTTCCAGCCCAAGCTCAGGGTCCGCGGTAACACGCCGAAGTCACGCCGCGTCTTTTCTACGCCGAAATCTAACACGGCCTTCTACAAAATGGAGGCTGCCCAGCAACGAACAACTCTATTCGCGCCTATACCATCGGGTTAACCTCTCTGAATGGCAATCGCAATGCCTGATCAAGCCCGGACCCCGTCGCGGTACCGCGTTGCTCGGTGCGGGCCGTTCATTCTACTGTCGGCCCCGACATTCCGGCCGTGTGCCGTGTCGTTGAAGTCTCTTCGGGCTTACGGTCCGCTTCCTGCAGATCGTTTTTCGATGCTGATCGATGATTCTACGTGTTGCTGGAACGTCGCTGCTTCTGTATTGAAATCTTTCAACAGCGGTGGGAAGCATGTTTCTATCTGGCTTGCATCGACGTACGATGCGTAGATGAGGCTTAATGCGCTGGCAAGGGCCCTCTGATAGCCTTGTGCTCAACAAGCCGAGGGGAAGCGCATGATAAGACGGTCGGATTTTCCGCGCCATCTTCCCGCAATTTGCTTCGCGCTTCCTTTGCCAGAGATTTGGTGACTGCCACCAAGGCGCGGGTTCGGGCTGGTTTAAGGGACACTAGCGTGCGCCTGGTGGCTAGCGCCCTCTAATGTGGTGGTCTATCATTTCACATGGTTGTCCTTTGTCCACGTCTCATTGTCAGGCTCGGGACGACGCGAATCATTGGAGTTGCCCGTTAGCGCGGTTGTCTTCATTGTTGTAATGTCATGTTCCTTTGGACACATCGCGCCTCAGTGCGAAGACCAGTTGTTGGGAGTGTTGGGGGGGAATTATGTTCTCCCACCAGTTCCCACCGCTGTCGCTGTATTGTTGGTGCGCTCTGACATCTTCGTGGAGAGAAGACTTGCTGGAGGTGATGGAGATCATGTGCGTCGAAACACGCCCCGGTACCCGGATGGGATGCGTTCGGCAAGCTGTGGTAGATCGGTATATCACGATACCGATTGCCACCCCTCTCCCAGAAGTGGGGATATGCGCGGAGCCAGACACAAGAAACGTCGTCAGGAGAAGTACTTCTCCCAACGACATTTCTAGTGCACAATGAACTCCATAAACGCTTATTTGGGGTGAGTCGGTCACGATACATATCTGCATATGGCGGGGCAAGGTGGATAAGTGGATAAGCCCGATCTTTAGTGAAATCTGGGGGGGAAACACGGAGCCCGAAGGGGCGGGTAGTTGAGGAGCGGCAGCCCCCTGGATTTATGACAATTAAATCGGGGAGTTTGCGCACCGTTGCTCCAGCCGGGCGGCGCGGGGTGGCTGGCTTGTTGACTGCCCCAAGGGAGGAGAGAGAGCGGCAGCTGGTTGGCGATTGCCGTTCGTCGTATCTCGTGTTCCTGCGCGGGTCTCCTCGGGTCTTGGGATTGCTGGTAGAATTCCTGGTCTAACGGCTATCTAGATCGGGGGCAGCGGCGACCGAATCTGGGACCAGTGAGGGTGAGGGAAGGGATGTAATATGATGGTCAACGGTGCTGAAGAGGGACTTGGGGGCAACGGGTCGCGGAGGCGGAGTCGCGGCTCCACGTTTTGGTAACCATGTGTGCGCGTGGGATACTGGTCTCCCTGGACTCGTCTCGCCACTTACTGGATAAGGGATGAATTGAAGGGGTTCTGTTCGGCATACGGCACAGCGGAGCTGCCGTAAATGTAATGGTGTGTTTGTGTGAAGCGATATTGAACTTGTTGAGAAGTGGCTCTATGACATAGGAGAGATATGGGAACGGAAGAATTCAATTCAATTGAATAGGAAGACTGCTTGAATTGACGGAAGCTTAGAATCACGGTGATGGGTCCGGAGAAGGGCAGTAACGGTTTCGTTCCGGTCCTGAGAGGGGATAGATAGGGGGTGGGTTAACAGATGGAGGCTGCAGCTATGGAGAGTGAAGATGGAAAAGTGGTGGAAGGTTGAGGCCAACCTTACGCCTTGGGGGATATGACCATAGCAGGACAAATACATTTTAGATTGGGCAAAGGGTGGGGCTGATTCCGCGGGAACGGAGGAAGGAAGCAAAAAAAGGATGGTGTGGCACACGGGCCAGAACGTCAGAAGGGTTAAGTGCGGTGCAACGTATTCGAGAGGGTGATGAGGGGGGTCCATTAACACGCGCACACACGACGGCGCCCATACGCGCAAGGGCGCATACACGCGACTTTTAGGTATTCCCCCCTGGCACCCCGTTCCCTTGCTCGTCCCACCTAATCCCAAACTATTGGCTCATCCATTCACTCTTGGACGGGACTCCCGGTTGCAGCGCTCCTTCTCATGGGCCCCTTCCTCCCCCTCCCCCCCATTCCAATTCCCACCCAGCATATATCTACCCCCCGATCCTTCATAGATGTTCAACCACAATCCCCTCCCCGGTGTTAAACTCAACCAATACTATAATCTCCTCCCCCTCCCTTTCCTCATCTCGCAACCTTCACCCTTTCTAGCTTTCGACCTCCTTCTCACCCCTTCTCATCATCCCTCCACTGTCTACCATGCCTGCAGTCGCACCAATGGACATTCAAAATCACAGCAACGCGTACCGCTCCTCCTCTTCACTGAGTGAGGCGGACGACCATATGATGCTACACGAGTCGATCGCCAGCTGGAGAGAGACAATGGAGATAGAGTACGTGTGTTCGCATTGTCACCCGATCATAGGCTGATCGGGTCCGCCATTGTCCTCAGGATCCCCGCTTCACCACTCTCCCATAGCGTAATGTCACCCTCTTCATTCCAGTACCCATCAGCCATGCAATGGGAGGGTGCTTCCCCGCCTTCTCACGCTGTCTTCGACGCCTGGTCAACAGTGGATCAGACTTACGTGAGTATTCCCAGGCCTGTCCCATTGTTCGCCCATTCTGATGTGGCCCGTTCCTCTCAGTGCAAGGACTTCACATGCTGCGGCCTCGCACTGCCCGGTCTTCACGAGCTACTGCAACATTACGAGGAACGGCATGTTCAGCCGCAGCAGTTCTCAGACGATGAGAGTTTACTCACATCACCCGTGACACCGCAAACCGCTTCCCCTCGATCGTCTGTTGGTCCAGAAGGCCCCGCAACACCACCCCCCTCATCTTTCCCCTACTCACCATCAGAGATGAAGTTCAACTACCCACCCTACTCTGCCTACCAGGCTCCAACATTCTACAATCCCGAGTTCCCCGTATCAGAACCATACGGCCTGCCACACGTACCCAGCCTGGTGCCGGAGTACGATGTGATGCAAGGTTTCGACCCCCTAGACCACGACTCCCCCGCATACAGCGTCCCTCCTTCACTTGTCAACAAGCCACTACCAGCCGAGAAGCCCAGGGGTCTGGGGATCACCATCCCCAGTATTGACACGAAGACGCTCACGGCAGGTGGGATCGCGGGTCGCAAAATCAAGTACGGCAAGGACAGGAAGTCAAAAAAGGACGACGAGCTTCCCGAGGGCCAGAAGCGAGTAAAGCCCTTCAAGTGTAAAGTAAGTGTGCCCTTCTTTATATACGAAGTACAGATGCTAACGCATATACTTAGGTCCCTGGTTGTACCAAAGCGTATCTTAACTCCAATGGTCTTCGTTACCATATGCAAAAGGGGACCTGTGTCCTCAGCGGCCCTGCCCCGCCAGAAGATGTCTAATATCGATCTTAATCGCGACTGGCTGCGCGTTGATCGACCATCGTGAGTCGTCTCCGATCCTTCGCAACTGCAAGGGCTAATTGTTGTGTAGAAAAGTACTACGTGTTCCATATAGAACCCCCATTCCCCTCAATCTCTTCTCGTTAACTGGTAATACCAATTCCTCTCAGGGTTTGCATTGCTATAATCAGGCAAGGAGTCGTGGCGAGTCGAGTCTCTCCTTTTGGATGTGCTACTGTCTGTGTTGTGTATATATGTGCTCTCGTTTTGGTTTCCTTGTTTACCTGCGTTTCTTTTTCCTGTGACGTTTCCTTTGCCTTCGTTCTGTTACAATAATGTCTCCATGTAGTCCATATCCCACTATCACCTCTATCATCTCACGCAGAGCTCATCCGTACAGTAGGCAATCCAAATTGAAGTTAATGTTGACACGTTCTCGAGTGCTCTGTACATTGTTGCAGCTCAACATTCCACGGTTCGAGTGGCGTTTGGGGCGTCGAGATCATCACTCCGTAACCTTCGCACAAGCTTTCAGGTCCCGTCGCCGTCGTGTTCTCGCCCCCCTTGCGTGCCATGACGGACACCGAGTGTCTCCCCTGTCCACAAATCTGTCAGCCCGTGCGGGCATACCACACCGTACCATCGCTCTCTCATTCAGCCCTGCACAGGGGCGAGCGCACGAGCCAATTCATGCTCACGTACGTACAACCCGCGTGTGTACGTACAACCCCTATCCTTCCGTAGCAACGAAATTCGCGTCCAGACTGCAGCTTTCCCGCTCTAATATAATTGACTTCTCTTACGTACCAGATCGGGAAGTGCTTCCCATAAGCTGATGGGAAACGACATTTTGATCTTGGGATATTGTTGACAGGTTTGCGTCAAGGCGGTGCAGGCACCTATGGCCGAGAAACACCTGCCTAGAAGCAAGGGGGTTTCCGTTTCGCACCTGCCGAGACGGCCCGCTTTGATGAATAACGTTGCTTATTGACCATCTTAGAATATTTATTATTTGAAATATTTATGTAGCGGGCGGTTGGTGGATCGGTTGATCGGTCCCGTGCTACACGCGCTCCCCGAAACGGGCCATATTACACGACGAGCAGGTGATTACGGCATCTTTCCCCCTCCTGACGACTTTGGTCCATGGCAGCGGGTCGTATGACTGAATGAGGGAAGGGTGATGCGGGTCGTTCCGAGGAACGTTAACGTTTCCGAGACCCCTGCCCGGGGGGTTCTTCTCATCCTGCTACACCTCTGCCCGTGCTTGAGTGGGCCTTGGGGTGCGGTCGCTTGAGTAAGATATTCTTCCAAATACGTGGAGACCAATCTCTCCGCGTATTTGGAAGAATATCTTAGGGGGTTGTGAGGCCGATCGTGATGTGACTTGATTAATCAAGTCACATCACGATTGGCTAATTACAACATTGTAATTAGCTTGGTTGCATAGAGGAAGGATGTAACCTTCCATACATGTCTATAGGCTGTGGCAAGATCGAAGTGTGAAACTTTGCCCAAGGAACAGCAAAGGCCAAACGGGGCAATGGGATGTAAATGATGAAGTCATACACCTGCATAAGAAGCAGCAACAGTTAATGCCTTTGTGATTGGCTATTGTCTTGGTGCCTTTTTTGTGTGGAAAAACAAACAATGTCCACGAACACTTCCCATGGGAAATGTTCATTTGTGCCAAAGCCCCGGCTTCATTTCACCACGTCTCTTTGGGATATGTCATCGGTCAGCACAGCTTTCCACAGGCAAGAATTCAGACTGTAGTGCGATTGTGTTCAGCGCAGTTCTCTAATATTAATAAACTAGACCGACATTTACAGTACCGCACGAACTTCATTCCTAATCAGTTGAGCTGCACCTGGAGCGAGAAGTAGAGTGGCTGGAGGGAGAACTTGGGCTTGAGATTCGTTCGCTATCTAGTGTATGGATAGATGGCTGGGCAATGTGGATGTCAACTGTAACACGGGTAGAGGTTTGGAGATCGAACAGATTCCAGCAGGCAAATGTATTACGATTCCTTGGGAAGTCGTAAGACCTTGAGATACCAGCAAATCGACATTTCGGAGCCAAAAGCAAACTCGGGTGTAAGCGATTTGGTACTCCTCCACCATAGATTCGTGAGGTACAAAATGATGCGCTTTTGGAGTGCGCTATGCCAAGTTGAGAGTTCAATGTTTGAATTGCCGGATAAGGAAGTCCGTTCCTTGGCGTCACATCACCTGACTCACTGATGGAGGTTCCACGGAGTCAAAGCCCCCTCGCCTTCTATTAATGCTCCATTGGCCACCCCTCCCCGTTCTTCCCGTATGGGAGAGAAAGCTTCTGTCGAGGGCGGACAGCCGAATGATGTTATGCCCAATGGTATGTGCTTTCTCCTAATCTCCACGACGATAGATGGTCTTCGCTAGCTATCAATATCTCAACTTTCGTTTTCATAGACAATTGTGCTTCAGCTAGCAACATCCCTGCTGGATATCCTGTCGACTGGTCGATTCTCGACGGACCGATCAGACCCAAGATCGCTGGCCCTTCTGTTCCCCGCGACTTCCTGAATCCCACGTATCCACCCTCCCCAGGGCGCCAGAAGATCGGTGGCCCTACTGTTTATCACAACGTTCAGAATTGGAACGCCCCTGCAGACCCTCTGCAGACTCGTGCCTCAGCTAGCAGCGTGCCTGCTGGATATCCTGTCGACTGGTCAATTCTCGATAGACCGACCAGTCCCAAGATCGCGGGCCCTTCTGCTCCCCGCGAACTCCAGAAGCCCATCAATCCACCCGACCCAGGGCGCCAGGAGATCGGCGGACCCACTGTTCATCACAGCATTCAAAATTGGAACGCCCCTGCAGACCCTCTGCAGACCTCCGATATCCAATCGAGGTTGACATCGGTCAAGCAAGAGAACGAAAGTTCTAAAGACGCACCTCCAAGCATTGACTCGCGCACATCCAACAAACGTGAAAGACGTCTGAAGTTCTCGCCGGTAGACCTTCCCATCCTCAGGAAGGCCGCTGCGCAGGCCAAGGATTGGAATCTCTTAGCTTATCTCAATAACGAACCTCCTCCGGGTCCCCCTCCAGGCAGTGACTTGCACTCGTCCAGAATACGTGAAAGACGTCTGAAGTTCTCGCCGGTAGACCTTCCTATCCTCAGGAAGGCCGCTGCGCAGGCCAGGGATTGGAATCTTTTAGCTTATCTCAATAACGAACCTCCTCCGGATCCCCCTCTGACAGATGGTTACCCATACAGATCGGTCTTCATCGACATGGATACAGGAAGGCGTGCCCGTCTGGGCAGTCAGCGCAAAGGTTCGAACATTCTCGACCCCTCCGAAGACGACTTGGACGAAGATTTGGGCGAGGGCTCTAGCACGCGCAGTGCCCCCATTGGACACGCTTTCCTTAGTACCCTCGGGCAGGACACGCGTCCCCGGTCTCGATGTTGAGGAAGAAAATGATCGTGGGCGCTACGGATTTTTCCGGAATTGGTGCAGCTGTTTTTGGAAGGACACTTAGTATGTGATTGTCATGTGATGGCCCCGATTGTATTCATGTATGTAGTTGTAAGTCCACTAGCGTCCGTGTAAAGTGTAAAAGGTGTTGTTTCCCAGCCACCCCGTGATCAGGAGCATGGCAACAGACCGCAATTGCTAACCTGGCAACGTTGTGGCCGGGCTGTTCCGAACGCGGACGGTCCGGGAATCCGGGCTTGCCATAACCGAGAAGTATATTTTGTATTTTATTAGAGTCCGTTGAGCGGGCCTATTTGGATCCGGTATCCGGGGTCCCACCATCACACCTCCTCTCATCGGTCTGTCCGGGTCTTCGCTATTCATATGGGTCATTTGACAAGGCCATGACCCATCGTGAAAGCATACGACACCCTCTTTGCCACCATACAGGCGCCAGCACCAACTTCATTTCCATCTTCAAACGAAGCAACCATCTTCAACAAGTACGTATCAACATATTCCTTTCTCCGGAATTTCATCACCACTGTCACAACAACCACCGACCATTAGAACGTTGCATGAGCGTTCGCTCAATGAGCAGGTGGAGGCAGCTCGGGACCGAGAGCAACGTCAGGCAGCTTTTCAACAGCGGCAACATATGCAACAACACCTCCATCACCACCCACACCCGGTGATCCACACTCTCGAAGATCCCTCCCCCCAGCCCATGCAAGTAACCCTCCCGAGGACAAAGAGTAAACGACAGATGATGTACCCACACCCCCTCCCCACTAGGATGATTAAGCATCCCAGTGCCAAAGCGCGCGTTCTTGGCACTGGATATGTCAAGCCCACCCCTTCTCCAGGTGCACAACGCTCAGGAACGGAGAAGAAACAGACGAACGGGACCCAGAAGAGGGTAGATAGCGAGCCTGTGGTCTTGCGGGAGAAGAGCCAGCGCAGGGAACCAGTATTCCTCCTCGGATCGGATCCAGCGCCTCCAGTGCAAGAGGCGCCAAAGCCGCAGGTCCCTCTTGGAGTTGGTTCTCCACAAGTCACCAAACGGAGGGAACCTGACCCAACTCAGGCGGGATGCATCCCTTCGAGCTCTCCTAGGATTCTCAAGGCTCCGCCACCTACCCCAGCAAGTGTCATGAGTCATCGACCCCCTCCGGCTGTCTCCCCATCCCGATTGCGCGTGCCACCTCCGACGCCGGTGACGGTCATGGCACGCAATTTACCCCCTGTTCCTCCCCCGAGCCCTGCACCCACCCCACCACACGCGAAACACTCTACACATGCCCATGCTGTTACGCATAGATCGCCTCCGCGTTCTTCGTCTGTCGAAGAGGGGGATGACGATGATGACTCCGAGTGGTACGATTCTGATGCGGAAACGGACGTCGAGGACGAAGCGGAGGCGGCAAGGCAAGCTGAGATTCAACGCGCCGCGGAAGAGGCACAGAGACAGCGAGATATGTTTGCCAAGAAGCGCACCCCATCACGAGTCGAACTGGTTGAGCTAGGAAGGATAGGAGGCGGCTTATCTAGGCTGTTCCACCCAGATCCGGAAATATTGAGATCAGCGGATCTAAATCGCACCCAAAGCAGTGACGCTTGGGCGAAAGCCATCGCTGCAGATAATCTAAAGATGAGCAAGTCGGCCGTCGAGCTGCGGCCGAATCAGGAACTGGTGCCGGCTGTGGTGACTCATCCGAAGAAGACGGTTGCTCCACTCAAATTGAGCAAGAGCACCGCCGCCCTGCCAACGGTGCAGAATCAAAGCATTACTGCGGGAGAAAGTGTGACGGGCAGTACGCGTGGATGGATGCTCAAAGGCCGCCCCTCGGACGAAGAAGAGAGTGACAGCGAGTCGGAGGAGCCCGATCTCGGCATGTCAAAGAGCGTGGCTCAGCAGCGTTTGGAGGCGTTTGCGAGCCGGCGTAGCTCACGTACGGGGACTAATGGGTCCAGGCGGCTTACACCACCTACACCGTTGCGGCAGTCTGCGGAGCGGGCACACCCCATCACACCGGCGATCGTTGAGCGCCCGCCGTCATCTCGCACCTCGCCAGCTCGTACTTCCCCACCACGTGCGAATGGAATACATCAAGTCAGCTTTGCCCCTATCGAGACTACCGAACCGGAGACCCTTCCTACACAACCGATTGACTTCGTTCCTCCTCCCCATCCTTACAACCAACAGATTGCCCCTCAGAACACGCCTCGAACAGCCGCGAGGATCATGATGTCAGACGAACTGTCTGAGAGTGTGCGCAGACAGTTGCTGTGGATGCGTGCAAGCAGGGCTACGGGATTCCCGAATAATATCCCCCGCACACAGAGCCAGGACGACGTGGTTCGGAACCCTCCTCGGCCGAATCGAGCGGCACTCAAGGATGAAGTGCGCGGATCGGCCCCGCAACCTGGACAATGGGCACAGGCCGAGGTACCCCCGGATAACGCAAAGCGGCGGTCTGTGGCTGGCCTTCGGCCCCTTACCCCGCTTGAACGGACAGAACAACGCCAGGCGAACGCGCTCCAGCGGACACGGAGTCTGGCTGAAGGCTTGGCGCACCACGACTACCACATCGCTGGCTGGTGAAGGGGCCAGCAATGAGCATTCATGCATGGTGTTGTTGTATTCTACCCTGACTGACTCGTTCGTCTTTGTTTGCTTTTCCGATGTTTCATGTTTGGGATAAACCTGCCTGGACCTCGCGCACGGTACTGTACTTTTTCCAACTGTTCAAGCTGTTCACACGTTTCTCTTTTTCCCATTGGCACGCATCAACATTCTCCTACCCGAACCAATGTCTACCCAATCTATGCGACCTTTGGCCGTCGATCCATGCCCTCCCCCTTTTCCTCAACGCATATGCATCCCTCTCTCTCTCTCTCTCTCTCAACCACAACCACATCTATCACAATGCGTGCCTATTACTGAATAATCCCAAGCGCGCCCTAACCACCTCCACAATCCTAGTCCTTTCATCCCCTATGGTACCCGCTCCCAATCCCCCACTAGTAGGCCTAGTCTGCCTTTCTCGAACCTGCCTCGTCTCCCTACCCTGTTGTATTATTTTCCCTTTCTTGAACAAATGCGAAGTCAATGCCAAGTATTCACAGCCTCCTACACGGTCATAACCCTGCAGTGCCCATGCTCATGACGTGGTGAAATTGCACAGTACTCTATGTCGCAGATGATGAGCGCCCGTGCGCGGTCCATGCACAATTGAGGCTGTGCGCCGAGTCAGAAGAGCGGCATGAGCCAAGCGCGCCACTTTCCCTTCGGAGAGTAACAGGGCCGCGCAATAGGTCCGGCAACGTCGAAGAGGCAAATCATTATTGAGCGCAGTCAATTGTTGTCACCAGAGTCATCCCCCTCCCTCCGTTCTCCTCCTCCTCCTCCTACTTCCACGTCACTTGGCTATCTCGCTTGACTATTATCCCATCTGATAAACAACCTTTGCTTTGCACAGCAATACCCCCGAGGGGAAAGGCTTACTCGTGTTACTTATACTGCTTACATACGCGGCCCATTTCTGGAACGGCTGGCTCAAGCGGAGACACCAACTTCATTTACCCCTTCCACCCTTGCTTTGCCCCACTCTTCGCATCCCCTGCCGCGCAGCGACTGTGCGTCACTCGCCCGTGACAAGAACAGACCGTGGTCAGCACTTGCTCCCATCTCTCAGGGGGTTTATCAATCCTCCTTCTATTACTGCTGTGCCGCCCTGCTCACTAACACACCGCTCTACTCACTCTCACCGACAAATCTGATTATCCCCGGCATCCGGAATGAGCTCAGGAGAGGAAGACTACGATGAACTCGGGTCGTCCAAAGGTCGCTTGGCCGAGGACGACGACGATAATCCCGCGTCGAAGAAACGCAGGATCCAGAGGGCGTGCGACGTTTGTCGCAGGAAAAAGGCGAGTCGCGCGATTTTGGCTCAAGATACGTGCTGACCTTATCATCTTCTCTCTGTGAATAACAGATCCGATGCGACGGGCCGACGATGCCTAACAACCGCTGTTCGAACTGCCTCGCTTATCACCACGAGTGCACCTATATCGAGGCAGCGAAAAAACGTGGTCCGCCAAAAGGGTGCGTGTCATTATCTGCTGTGCTGAAATGACTCGTTGTACTAACTCCGTGCTGCGCAGGTATGTGGAGGCACTTGAAAACAGAGTTGTGAAGATGGAAGCTGTCCTTGCTCGTGTAAGTCCCAATAGTTGACCTGATGTTGCCAAATGTTCATGTATGCTAGATGTTCCCCGGAGAGGACTTTTCTGCCGAGATCGGACCTCCCGTCAGCCGCGAGGCGTACATGTCTGGTCGGCCTCCACCTGCCGAGAAGCCCCATTCGCTGCTCTCCAAGCTCGGGCAGCACAGTTCCCAAACTCGCCAGGCGCCCGCTGGGATCCCCCTTCCCGTCAATCCAGACCCGAAGGAGGACGATCTCTACAGCTCAGACGACGACCTTATCATCCAGGGCCCGCTTACAGAGCGAATGAAAAATATAGACATTACGGGTCAAAGACGCTATCACGGCAAATCCAGCGGGTTCATGCTCGTCGCTGCCGCGCGCGACCTGAAGCGTGAGTATACGGGTGGTCCTCCCGCTCATCTCGACCTTGAGGTCCCTGTTGAGCACACGTTGCGGAACCGTCGGCCCGAGTTTTGGCAGCCTTACGAATGGGAACTCCGTACCTGGGCGAACCAGGAATGGCGCGTTCCCGTCGAGTGGCCAGAGGAGGATCTCATGAACTCCCTCATCGAACTCTACTTTGAAAACTCGAACAACTTTTGGCCCCTTCTCCATCGACCCACGTTTGACAAGCTCTTGGCGGACAAGCTGCACGAGCGCGACATGTCCTTCACAGCCGTGGTGATGCTCACCTTGGCTGTTGGGTCGCGGTACAGCGATGATCCCCGCGTTCTAATCGATCCCAACGCGACTACCCGCCATTCCGCAGGGTGGAAATATTTCGAACAAATCAAGAATTTCAGAAAAACAATCATGGCCCGACCCTCGCTCTTCGATCTCCAGATATTCGTCTTGTCCTGCATCTTCCTCCAGGGCTCCAGCGTGCCCCATGCCTGTTGGACCGTCGTCGGTGTCGGCCTTCGTTTTGCCCAGGACGTTGGCGCCCACCGTCAGAAATCGTACCGTGGTGGCGATATGGTGGACGACGAGCTCTGGAAACGCGCGTTTTGGTAAGCGCTCAGGGACTTTGAAGGTGCTGATTCTAATCCGGTCCTTGCAGGTGTCTTGTAGCCATGGACAGGATGGTGAGCTCGGCCCTGGGCTTGCCTTGTGCGATCCATGACGAGGAGTACGTAAACTTATCTGGACAAGTGGGTGGAGGCTGACACGAATACCCTTATTATTTCAGTTTCGATGTCGAGTTCCCACATGAATGCGATGACGAGCACTGGGAACCGGACGAAAATGGAAAACGGTTCGTACAGCCGAACAACAAGCCGTCCAAGGTGTCGTTCTTCCTCTGCTACCTGAGGCTTATGCAGATCCTCGCGTTTGCCTTGCGTACTATCGTAAGCTTCCCATTTCATCACCAGGAAGGAGGATGGAGCCTGACGCGTCCTATAGTACTCGATTAACAAGTCCAAAGTGTTGCTCGGCTTTGTCGGTGCACGCTGGGAACAGCACATCGTTGCCGAGCTTGATTCGGCCCTGAACAAATGGATCGATTCTGTTCCCGCTCATCGTAAGCATCCCCAAATCATTCATGGTCATTGCTCATCATTGCTCTAGTAAAATGGGATCCGAGCGTTGAGGATTCTCTCTGGTTCGACCAATCAGCTACTTTGTTTTCGACATACTACCAGCTTCAGATCCTCATCCACCGTCCGTTTATCCCCTCCCCTCGTCGGCCGTCTCCGCTCTCCTTCCCCTCCTTGGCTATATGCAGCAACGCTGCCCGTTCAAGTGCGCATATATGCGAGCATGTCCGGCGGAGAAAAGCCACCATACTCCCCGGAATCATCGTTTCCGCCTTTACGTCGGGTATCGTTCTCCTCATCAACGTCTGGGGGGGCAAGAAGACGGGCATGAAGCTGGATCCCACCTCCCAGCTTCAGGACACGCACAACTGCATGCAAGTGCTCAAGATGGCGGAGCGTTCGTGGAATTCCGCTGGACGACTCTGGGACATTCTCTGCGAACTTGCTTCCTTCGGCGACCTCCCCCTTCCTCAAGCCAGTCCACCCGATTTCACCGGATCCAATAAACGCGAACGCAGTTCGGAGAACTCGCCTGGTGCCGCTCAGAGCTCGTCTACCTCGTCAACAACCCTTCCTGTTGACGGTGTTCGGCCAATCGCCAAGGCCCCCACGCGCTCGACGAGCAATTCCTATTCCAACTCGCCTGCGGCTTCGGCGTCATTCCCTCCCTCGGTGACTGCCACCCCTCCGGAAGGATATCGGAACGTTAACAAACCGACCGTGATCTCTCCCGACTCTTCGACGCCCTCCTCTACGCTGCCTTTGCCTCCGGACGGCGGGTATCCGTCAATGGACGTCAGGAGCTCAGCATACAACGAGGCGATGGGCAACTACGTCTCCCCTACGGCTCCGGCATCTAACGCTCAGTCCTCCACTTGGTTCGTAGATCCTCAGGGACCGCAGAACACCACACCAATTACTTCTGGTAGGGATACATCCACTTTCAGCTACCCTCAGCTGCAGGGCGACGCTCTCATGTCTCTCTTTGGCTCCGATCCGATGTCTTTCTTCGCTGAACCAAGTCAGTCCTTCAACCGAGCAGAAGAAAGGACGTCCGGTCCTTCCCAGTCTCCAGGAGGCATGTCCTACGTCTCGAATGGAGAACCTTCAGTTTTTAACGACATGCCCACGCCACCACAAACTTGGCCAGGTCAAAACTTTCTTGGCATTCCTCAGCCGCCAACGCCCGGTGTAAGCTCATTTGCCAACGCGGCTAGCGGAATGCCTGCTTGGTCAGGTGGGCCCTACGGATTTGGGTTCGTGCAGCTATCCACTTCGGGAGTGCCGAGTGCTGACGACCCGCGGCAGTTTTGAGTCATGGACGCAGTATTTCAGTAACCAAGTGGGGACGCCTTCACAAGGCGCTCCGAGTCCCCGTCCACCACCGTAATATTGTCCACAGCCTTTGTAAAGTATTATTTTCTTTATGGGCTTCCGTTTTTGGCAGTGGGGGATGGTTCGGCTCCTTGTACGACTAGGCTGAGTAGAACAGCCTTCCCGGTTCTTTGCCCCTCTTTGTAACTTCCTTGCTCCTTGGAGGTATCACTTAATTCGTTCTTCGAAATACAACAAGTCAACTAGTTAGAAATCTTCCCTTGTACGATTATGGTATCTCGTGCGTAACCCAAATGGCATCTCAGCATACCTAGTCGTGTGTTCATCATTCAACAACATAAACTGATGCACCAAATTAGTTGCAAGCCTATTGCAATGTAATTGTTGAACGAACCTCCAGCGCCGCTGCTCGGCTTAGTTGCAAATACGACCGCTTCGAGCTGCTCCTTGCTCAGCGCCCTATATGGGGCATAGGTCTTGCTGATCTGTTCGATAAACGCAGGCACGTGCGGTTCGGCAACTAACGACACAGCACACCCTCCCCATCCTGCACCTGTTCAGCGTTCACAAAGGTATCAGCGACACCACCTAGATCATGGACTGAAGACGCACCAGTTAGGCGACTTCCATAGGCGCCCGCCTCCCTCGCTAACTGCGTAAGCTCATCCAGCTCAGGACACGAGCACTGGAACAGCTTGCTACAGCTTTCCTGGCTAGCATCCATTAGCTCTCCCAGCTCTTTCAGCACCTCATCCCCATGTTCTTGCTCGCTGACGGACGTGGCAGTGACATTAGAGGGGTGGGAAGCGCAGATCTTCCGGAATTGGAGGACGCGGAGTGCTTCGGAGAGGACGTGTTTCGTCCGTGCGTAGAGGCGGAAATCAGTCGCTTCCACTGGATTCCCGATCAGCTTCAGGCCCGACTGCCACTTTTGGGGATAGAAGATAGAATGGATGGGAGCGCACCTTGTACCCAGGACAAGTAGAGCTGGTGGAACGCATCTTCGTCCAACCCACTCGCAGCTACCATCTCCTCATGGGTCAGCCCGGTCTTCCCATTCCCTTCTCCCAGGATTCGCTCCGCCTCCGGTATCAGGCGCTGCAGAACTTCTTCAAGCTTCTCCGGGCCCATGTCTTTCCCTTCTCCCTCTCCTGCCCAACGACCCACTACCTCCCGCATGGTGACTTTCTCGCCTTCCCCTACTTTCATGCCTAGTGCACGAGCTAGCACTCGTGCAGCGACCAGAGTTTCTACCACCCGCAGGTTGTAGTTCACTTTCGCAGACAGCGCTTTGTCCGACACCACGAGGGAGTTTGTGATAACGAAGACTGCGCTGGGTGAGGTGCGAGGAATGCGTACGGGAGCGGAGCGGAGTGCTGGATAGAAGGTGATATACAATGCGGCGGAAGGAGTGGAGATCACTGAAGCGGCTTGGTCCATCCCCCCGCTGTTGACCCCTGGTCCCTCAAATGTAAGCATCCATTTACAAAAAAACATCAATACAAGAGAAAAATACGCACCCACTCGCTTCTCGTTCTCCATGGCGAGTGTTACCAGCTCCCCCTTGGTCACTTGTCCCAACGCGTCGTTCATGGCCAAGAAACTGAGGGTAGAGGCAACGACCATCGCTGCGCTGCTTGACAGGCCCGAACCAGCGGGTACAGAGCCTGTTACGAGCATATTCATGCTTTGGGGGACAGAAGTGGGGTGAGCAAGGTGGTGGTTCAGCACACCCTGTGAGGCTGAATTAGGACTTTCCGCCGGAGCAGGTACGCGAGTACTCGCGCGAGAGAAAACTCACATAATACCCAGCTTTGACATAGCTTTCCCACCGCAGCTCTCTTGTGTCGATCCCCAAATCCCATTTCCCTTCCTCTCCGACCCTCTGGGCCGCAAACTCCTGGCGCGAATAACGTTCATCCAGGTTTTCGGCTATTATTTGCCCTCCTGGGGCTGAGGAGGGAGACAGAGCCATGAGAATATCTCTCTCGATCGCGGTGGGGAGGACTCCAAAAAGGGCGTAGTCGATGTGCTCGCCTATGAGACTAGGATGGCCGTTAGCTGCTCTGGGATCATAAGGTTGTGACAGCGAACTTGACTCGTCCTGGAGCGCGGGCGACATGGGTCGCTTTGCATCCAAAGATCTTCTCAAATCTCACAAGCAGGTTATTCCATCTTTCCCTGTATCCAGACCCTATATTAATTCATGAACATTCAAGGGTCGCTGCAGACGCACGCTTGAGCCAGAGCAGCTTTCGCTCCATCGGCGTGAATCTCGTCCAGGGAATGGAATACGGGTATAGGTAGTTCTGCCATTGTCGTTCCAGAAAGTCGTTTTGACAGAAGCATGTACAGAGAGCTAGCAACCAGATAAAGGAATGAGCACTAGGCACGTTATGATCCGGGCAGAGCACACGAGAACAGAAAAGCAAGGAGGGACATTACGCCGAAGTCCGAAGGGAAAGTCGTGTGCCTTGCATGTGACGCGGGGTAAAGTGGCTGTGTTTTTTGCACGTTTGGTAACGTGAGCATGTGACTCGTTCTTTCAATATGGGGTTGACCTTATGGGTGAAATACTCCATTAAGCATTGTCCCGCTCTCCTCCTCCTTCCCGCCCTTTCCCTGTCCACCCGGAGGAAAGAGTACGGACTTTGGGCACTGAATTATATATTCAGTTAGACATAACAGAGACTAGGAGACTAGTACACCGAGTGGACCGGACATACAACATGTTATAAGCTTGCAAGAGTTGGAAATCAGCGCTGGAGGGATTAGTGCGTCGAGTCAGCGAAATTCGCCCGACGATGTTTATCCGCGCTTGCACCCGGCTCACCCCTTTTGGTCGCTCTCTCTCTTCCTTGAACAGCTTGCACACTCGCTCAATCGTATCTGCTGTAAGGTCTTTAGCTGCCTATACCTCTCCTTGGATTAGCACCACCACCTCACTCAGAGGCACACACGCATACCCCAGGAGATTTCAGTCAACTATGCCATACACCGCACAAGACGCAGACGGCCTCAAGCCGGTTACGATCATGCTACCTAACATGGCCGTACCTTCCATAGCGGTCGAGATCTTGCCGTTCGGTTTGCACCTTACCCAAATCCTGCTAAACGCAGACGGGAAGAGCAACGACGTCCTCATTGGACCGTTGGACAACAGGACCCTCAAGGAGACGAGACCATTCTTGAACTGCGTCGTGGGGAGGTACTGCAACCGTCTTCCGGTAGGACAGTTCCCAGTAGAGAAGGATGGAGATAAGGGAGTAGTCAAGACTATCTCAACGGGTGCGTTCCCTTTCTCACGTGCCTGCCAGTCTCACCTAACCTCGTACAGAATCTCCTACAGTGTGCCTGCACGGCGGTCCTGTGGGCTTCGACCGTCTCGTATGGACACGCATCTCCGCGTCCGATTCCACGAACTTCTCTCTCCCCGAAAGGAACCGTCTCGCACTACGCGACCCGGACAGCTACGCGATCTTCTCCCTCACCTCGCCCTCCGGAGACCAGGGCTTCCCAGGCACGCTCTACACTGAGGTGCTCTTTGCCTGCCTCACCTTCCCGCGCCACCCTATCCGACCGGACGGGGTGATCGACGTAGGCCAGCTGGCGATCGTCTACCGCTCCCGGCTCGCCCCCGGGCAGGAGGGAGTAGCCACGCCCATCAACCTCACCCAGCACTGGGGCTTCAATCTGAGCGCCTCGGGTGAACCACAGAAGCCGAACGTCAACTCCCACAACCTGAAGATCGATTCTCGCGGTACGATCGATCTCACTCCCGTCTTCCTTGCTTCGGGGAATATTACCCCCACTGCACCTGGCGGGGCGTACGACCATACTCAAGGGAAGGAGATCGGTCAGGCCGCGCCGGCAAAAGGATACGACGAGTTCTACTTGTTTAAGAATGCGCAAAATGAGGGACAGCCCATCCACCTCGCGCTTGACAAGTTGGAGAAGGGAGACTTGCTGGGAGAGATCTTCTCTGAAAGCAAGCGGGAGATACCGGTGAAGCTATACTCGAACGAGTCGGGCATCGGTGCTGAGTTCCAGACGAACCGTGAGCCGTTTCTGCCCTGATACTGCGTTGAGGCTGATGAGGAAACAGAGCCTGGTGTGCAGTTGTACACCGGTGAAGGCCTGGATGGCTCCGGCACGAAGAAGCGCATTCATGGCGGCACTGCGGACGGGCCAGGGTACAACAAGCGTTCTGCTGCGTTCCTCGAGTTCCACGAGCCGCATGCGGCTTGGCTCCAGTCTTGGGGCTCTACGCCCGAGACGTCTACCATCCTCTCAAGCAAGGAGATGTACCATAACTTCACGAAGGTTACCTTTACGTGCGTCTTTTACGCTCTTTGTGTGCGACATTCTGGCTGATGTGTTGCTTACAGGTACAAGGAGGAGCGCTAGGTGCTCGCGTGAGGACTGGGGAGTGTATGAGACCGAGCAATTGAAACGAAGAAAACCATGTTGTAGTGCATACCAGGGAATTGAGATGTTATGTCCTTCGTGATCCAGTGCAGAACGCATGTTGGAATCGTGTATATTTCGTACTACGGAAACATGCTCGGCAAGTGCGACAGACAGCGATGACCAGATGCTACATGGGATTGGAGAATGCCAGAGAATCTGCAACGCGTGGTATGGATGATGAGGAAATACGTGAAAAGTGACTCAGGAAGTTGGAATCAGAAGATCTCCAACGTAGAGTCGAGAAACAGAGAGTTGTCGTTGTACGAATTATTCGGGGGCGGATCCAGTCGATTGTCTTGTTTAAGCGGACGTCGTACACAGTAGAATTGATGGTGGCTGACCGGGTTGTTTGCCGTAGTTTTGCAAGATATCAATTGTCTTGTATGTCGAGCGACTCGGGTTGATCTATCACATGACGTCTGCCCCGGCATTGAGCATCCGCTGCTTGAATGACGTCAGACCGCGAGGACGGCGGCGTCTTATTGCAGGCGTCAAGTGCTGGAAGAGGTCCATGTCGTCAGATGATGGAAGCCGATCTCGGCCATTGGGACGTGTTCGGCGGGGTTCATTGATTTCGATCCCCTGGGAGAATAAGTTGAGATCATCTGATGACGGCTCAAGTTGGACCGCAGGGTCATATTTAGCACGCTTTGCGAGAGGTCCATTGTCGGAATTGTCCGGTTCTGTGAGGATTGTGTATGAGTTCTTTGCGCCGGCATGTTGGCCGAGTCTCTCGCCCTGTTCCCCCTGTTCCCCCTGTTCCCGTCCTTTCCGCGCCTTGTAATCATGTCGAGATTCCTGCTTCAGCTCCTGAGTATCGACTCCCCAGTCTCTGTGCCCTTTCCACCGGATAACAAAACCCCACATCCTCAGCGAGTCGCGGTATGCACTATTCCGGTCTGTGCGGCTAATCAGAAATTCGTTGGCATTGACCTCGTGGGTGCTGAGAACCCTCGTCATAGTCACCAGCTCGTCGGTAAGAGGAATAGCCATCTCCTTCAAGCAAAACCCACAGTAGGTACACAGTGCGAGGAGTGCATTTCCGAAAGCTGATCCATGAAAAGTGAAGACGCGCAGAGCAATCGGATAGAGATTGAAAATGCTGTTGTAGATCATGTTCAGCTCCGAGTCGGGGCATCTCCACGCAAGCCTCTCCTTCTGCAAATGTCGTCTCATGATATCGTAAATGAGTTTAGTCACAGTTCCAGTAAATGTTGGGTGCTGGACAATGTCTTGTTCGAGCCCGTTCAGAGCAAGATTATCGAGCAAGTAACCGAGATCCCAAGAATCCATCATTCTCGCCATGTAGCGAAAGCTGGCCAAGGAAATATAGCTTGACCATTCGTCAAGCGATTCCAGATGCGTCTCAGCGATACGCAGAAACAGATCGGCTGCACTATTTTGACATCTCGCTCGACCGTCGTGTCTTTCAAATGCGTCCAAAATGGATATGATCGTTGCATCCTTCCGCTCAGAAAAGCCGGATTCTATAAGCTCCAGGATGATGTTTCCAAATATTTTGTTGAGCATGAAGGATGCCTGTCAATAAAGTATCGTAAGACGGGAGGATGTGCTCATAAGATTGATATTACCTCCGAAGTCCGGGGTTCTTCCGTCAACACCACGAACCAAGGAACGAGGCCGCCGTCAAGAGGAATAGTAGCCGTGAGTATCTCCATGGCGTGAAAGAACGCAACGCGTCTTTCACATAATAATCAATACCAGTCGATGACGTTAGTTGAGCGAGCGCATACATACCTCGCCAAGTGGGGCGCGTCGAGACCGGCTCGCGCATATGCATCGACCATACTCCCAGACGGTGGCCGTCCGTACTGATCAACCTTCCCCGAGGGACTATAGGAATTCTGAACAGAAGAATTGGATTTGATTGCCTCCAGTCCACGACGGTAAAATTCTTGTGCGAGGCTCTTACTGGCTAGAACGACCAAGGTTGTGGGCACTGGGCATTCTTCTGCGACCTGTGATGCTTCAGAGAGCTGGAGAAATGTCTCCCAGATGCTTCGTTGCTGATCTAAAGCAGGGATTAAATTTCTAGGGGGTGTGAATTGTCGTTTGGATCCATATACTGTTCCCCATTTTCGCTTTCGACGTGGCTCGACAGCTCTTGCAGGGGATGAAGCAACATCGTCCAGAGCCTTGCATTGTTCCTGTAGCTGAGAAAGCAAACGCAAACACAAGGAAAATTTCACATCATTCTCCATGAATCTAATCACAGCCTCTGAAATCAGCAGCAGTTGTTGAGAGGAAATGCAGGCCACCTAACAATTTGCCAGCTTCTGATGAATGGTAAATGTGCGTGTGACTGGCGAACACGTGGGCGCGCCATTCATATAAAGGGTCACGTGCCAACCCACTCACTTGCCAACTGCTTGAAACTGTATCTTTCATGGATTTCTTCGCTGATCTACAGATAGCGGATGAACAGGATGAAACTCGGGTCTCTAGAGAGGACCGGATTAACAGAGCATTTGAGGAAAGCAAACGATCCTATAAAGATGAACGAGTTCTAACAGAGCCTGGGGTATGTCAAATTTGCGTTCAGCTCAACTTTTCACTCATTGAGCAGTGGTTCAACTCCGACCTCTCCGTCAAAGAAAGATTAGCCTCTTCAAGTCGTGCCGTACGAGAAGTTGGTGAGTTCCATCAACGCTGTCAAGTATCTTGATATCCAGGATGCTGACAAATGCAGAATGGTCTGTCCAACAACTCTACGTACAGCGCAAATATGCCGACTGCCTGCGAATGACCCTCGAGTTCCTCGACGCGCTCGACAATTTAGCTGACAACTCAGCCGGTGCACCCGATGAACCTAAGCAAGAACTGCGAAGGCGCGAGCTTCTGGATATTGGAATGCGATGCGCGTTCAAAGTGCACGACACGAACACCGCAAAAACACTGGCGGATCGCAGTAGGCCTTCGGTACGATTCTTCTCTCACAGGAAGTCATTTGCTCACACAGAAGGCGATCAGTGGAAGACCAATGCCGGCCTGGCGAGTGCTGCAGCGGAGGCGTACGTTCTCGCCTCAGAACCATACCGTACGAACCAGCCCATCTCCTTCCCGTACCTGCTCATCCCTTTGTCACAGAGGCAATCACAGCCAGCCTAGATGTGATCGACTTTCGCGGTCCACTATCTCCTTATCTCGCACCATTATGTCGCGCCCTCTGCCAGCTAGAACCCAGTTGGCCCGAAGCTGCCGGCTCAGAAGATAGGAAGCATGCAGCTCAACAGCTTCTTGCCGTCGTCGAAGCGCTTGAACAACGTGCGCAGGCTGGAGTGAGCCTAGCCCTTTCAGCTAAACAGACGAGCACGAGGGGCGGGACCGTTCTCCCAGAGGTGCCGAAGCCTACGGAGGAAGACATACACCGATGGACGCAAGCGCTGTCTATAGAGGAGAGTGACGCATTGCGTCTCACAAAGCTCTGTTGTCATCATGACGAAGCCCAGGAAGAGAAGGATACTATCCGATCGGTGCGGACGCTCTAGCTAATGATGAATACAAATTGTACCCTAGATACATATGAACGATCGCGCCATGCTGCATCATTAATCAAAGATTGCGTTGTGCATTGTATTGCAGAGAGTTTAGGGTATACAGAACCAAATGTCTGGAATACATGAATGTAGGAGATGATAATCAAGGAGGGAACAAGATCCAGGAACCTTACATCGAACCACGGATCACAGATAAATATTCTAACGGGACAGCCAAAGTACCCGAATGGGCCTTAGGTGGTAGTCCTTCAGGTGATTATACACGCTCGACTGGCGAACAGTGACCAAAGTCGGTACCCCCGCTGGGGAGGAACATAAGCTGCATCAGGATCAGCAAACGTACACCACTTGGTATAAAAAGGGGGAATGCGTACCCGGACAGTCTGGGAGGTCGTGTACGCCGCTGCGGCTAAGCCAAAGATGATGAGCATCCAGTCCGTGACTCTTGCCCATCGAGAACGGGCCACGGCCTTGAGGTGGAGCATCGCAGGGTACACGTAGCAGAGCGGCACACTTCATGACGATGAGCAAGCTGGTATGACGGAATGGAAGGAAGTGACGCACCAAGCGAAGCACCCGATGAGGGAAACGAACTTGTCCAAGTCTGCTGCTCCTGCCCAGGAGACCATCGTACACAGTAGGACGATGCACAGCCTGAAACCATTCTTCATCCACTTGACCCAAGGATCCTGTTTCCCGCTCCGGGTGAATATAGCGTTCTCCATAATCCTTAGGGCGGGGAAGAGCTGCAGTGGCGCGGAGAGGAGGATGGCGAGCGCGTAGATGAACTGGACGACTTGGACGAATTTCTGGTCTTGGGGCAGGTTGATGATCACCACTGTTTGGATGTCCTTGCCGTAGGCTGCGTAGGCGAGAGCGCCACCGCCGCCAAAGAGGATCATCAGGAAGAACATCACTCCTGAGAGAACGGCGGGGAACTTGCGCGGTTCGCGCATCGACTCGGTGATGGGGATCACTAGGCCGATACCTTCGAAAGAGAATACGGCGGTGCTATTGGATAATTAGACGCGCTCGCCAGTAAGAAATTGTCGTGCTCACCCAACCAAAAGCGGGAAGTCCCGCGGGTTGAACAGCTCCACATGCGCCATCCCATTACTGGCAATGGACGCGATCTCGTTCCCAAAGATGTACACCAAACCGATGAGGATGAACACGTCCGCTACGAGCGCAGTAGTGGACAGCTTTGCGAGGTTGCGAATGAGCGCGAGTGGGACGAACAGGAGCATCTCAGAGAAGATGAGGTACTGGATAGGCACGTCCGTCCTGCAGTTGGTTACGGCGAGGACGAAGGCTTTAAGGTTCTCGGCGACGAAGATGAGGTATGCGGAGACGAAACCCAGCTGGGAGAGGACGATACTGCTCAGAATGAGGTTGCGCATCCAGGGGCCGTACAGTATGCCACCCATCTCGCCGAACCCACCGGGGATGACGAATCGGACTTTGACTAGGAGGAGGAAGGAGTAGAGCGAGATGAGGGCGATGAAACACAGTACAAAGGAAGAAAAGAGGATGCCACCGTTGAAGAAGGCTTTGCCGAGAAAGAGGATACCGGTACCAACGAAAGATTTGAGTAGCTAGGTGGAGTTAGGCGCATATATGCAGCTTTAAGTGACCAGACATACCATAAGAACGGCCTGAGTGACCGTCGCATCCCCGGCTCTGACGACACTTTGCGATCTCCCCCTCCCACCCCTGGTCAAGCTATGCGCTCTGAGCAGCCTCGACCGCTCCGTCGCCTTGCTCGGGGGTATCGTACCGTCAGCAGCGTAGGCGAGTCCGTCCTCCACATTCCCGCCGCGCAGGAGGGACTCCCGTACCGAGTCCTCTGCCGAGGCACCGAGTGTCTCGACCTCTTCATCCTCCTCCGAAATGTCGTCGAGGTCTTCACCAGCCTATCACCCTCTTTAACCCATATACGGAAAGGATATGGTTAGAACTCACGAAATGTCCAAAGAGGAGCAAGAAATCAATGAAGTTATTGACCATCATCGGCTGGTCCTCGCCTCTAGCGTTGGCTTTAGCGGCTAGATACGCCCTGCGCATCCCATTCGGCTGGTGTATATGCTCCAACGCCGGATCGGCCAGACTCTTCCGCCTAACATGGGAGAAGCTCGCCGATCGCGGCCTCTTGAGCGCGTTACGCGCCTCGCTCTGCCAGCGGTAGATCCCATGGGTGATGTCGCTGCCCTCGTTATCGAACTGGATGGGGAAAGGCTCGAATTCGTCCACAGGGGTAGGAACATCATCGAGGAACTGATCTCGCTCGGTTTGCCCGATAGCACCGTACGCTGCTGCACTCGGCCGGCGAGAAGGGGTAGACGAGCCCTCGCGTTCCTCTCGTGAGACCAGATGCCGGCGAACTATCTCAGCTTTCTTCTCCTTTGGCATGTCCTCGACCGCTACCCTCACTCGCTCCTCGTCCTCTTCGTTCCGCGGAGTATCCTGTCCACTCGCAGCACCCCTCGATGCCCTCCTTTCTGCGAGTGACCTGGCTCCGTATGACTGAGAGAGCACAGCCGGTGAACCGTAGTGTGGATTGGGGATGTTAGGGACAGGGGGAGAGGCGGTTGAGTAGCTCGCCCTCCTCTGCCCAGCCGATTCTTCCCCGGGGATCGTCAGTCCTGCGGGAGAGGTTCCCTCAGACGGCGTGGGCGCGTTCGAGGAACGATTCGAGTTGGCCATGAGGAGCTGACGAGTGAGATTAGAAGCCCGAGGTGGTGGGATGTTGGAAGGTTGGTTGGCCATAGCTGACTGGCTGTGTTGTATGATGTGTTAGTAGGGTGTAATTGCGTGCCGTTCCGAGATGACCGCGGTGCCGACAAGGCTGAGCTGGGTAAGGGATTAATATGAATAGATGTCGAGAACGGATAAAAGGGTGTGCTCACTGTCAGAGAGCGTGGAGGAGCAAAGATAGAGCAAGAGGGGAATAAGAACGGATTCCCTTTTGGCCGCGTAAGGCTCCTATTAGAGTCCTGCACACGAGGTCAGCCATCCCGCGAATAAGAGAGCGGAGAGCAACGGAAGGATAACGTAAGCATACCCACGCGGAGTAGAGCGGCGTTAAGCGCACATCCCTTACTCCTCCTCGACATGTCCACCCAATCTGAACACTCAAAGTCAATATTCCGCAATACACTTCGAGGAGAGGATGCATACTCTAGGCATCAGAGATACGTGCATGACTATATCGACTATTATGGTGGTCGAAAACAAGTCCAGGAGAAGAAAACAGACTTTGACGTCCTCAAGGCTGCCCATCGGTCCCTCCTTTCTCCTTGTGTTCAGTCGGATATTGATGGCTAGCAGGTTTATAAGAGACGAAGGAGATGACTTGAGCAAGCTGTCTTATGCGGATCAGCTTGCGGTCAAATATTATTCCCAGCTGTTCAAAGAGTTTGTCATCTGCGATCTGAAGCATTATAAGTCTGGTGCTGTACGTCTTCCACTTCCTCATCCGTTTATGTGAACTTATCTGAAGGCCGTAGATAGCACTAAGATGGCGAACAGACACGGAAGTGGTAGACGGTATCGGACAGTTCACTTGTGCCAACCCGCGTTGTGCGCACCACTCTCCCACTCAAGGACACAAGACACCCAAGCTGACAGCTTACGAGCTGCCCTTCTCCTATGTAGAGGAGGATAAAGAGAAGAACGCGCTAGTAAAGGCTGTGCTGTGCGAGCGATGTGCGAGGAAGCTGGTCTGGAAGAGAGAGAGAGATAGGGAGAAAAGAGAAGAAGGAGAGAAACTGATGCCTACGGTTGTGGATGATGACGTGCCTCACGAGCCACCAAAGCGCATCAGAGAACACACAGAGGATGAAGAGGAGGAAGAGTATGGACCCACCAGACCGCCACAACTGGATTCAGATCATCGGAGATCACGCTCTCCCAGACGAGAATCGGACGAGAGAGAGAGGTACGCTCGCAGGCGACGTTCTCCTAATACACCCGTGTAGCTTTCTAATCATTGTAGCATTATACAGCCAATACAATCTCTATGGATACAGCAGAACATGAATCAGCCAACACGTCAACTGTCCTTTTCCTTCCCCAGCTCTCCCAAGAACCTGACTACTCTCCCCATTCCCTCTCTTACCATCTCCCTCTCTCCTTCTCTAACTCTTCCCATCCACCTCCCTTCGAACTTGTCCGGATGCCATCTCAACAGTGCCTCTCTTACCCTCTCCTTCTTTCCCTTTCCAGAAGAATGTGCATCAGAGAATAAAAATTCCCGCATTCGTTCCCCAGTGAGCTCTTCAGGAGCAGAAGGATGCTCAAACACCGGCCAAGGTACGTCCTCCCACCTCACCCTCTCCAGCTCAGCCATCCTCCCCCACCCACGCTCATACGCCTCCCAAGCGTCCAGCTTGCCCTTCAACTCCTTCTCCCGTCTCCTTACTTCCCTCCTCCTCTCCCTCTCCCTCGCTTCCCTTTTCTCCCTCTCCCTAAACGCCCGCCGCTCTTTCTCCCTCTCCTCCCTCTGCCTAGCAGCAGCCTCAGCCTCCTCCACCTCCTGCATATGCGTGCGTCTCCACATGCCCCTCCTCACCCACTCCGCATACTCCTCTTCCTCCATCTCTGCCGGTGCGCCAGACCGACCCCAACGCGAAGGGACGTGTCTGGCATACGCAGCCTGAGCCGAGTCCTGCCCAGCATCATACGCCAGTTCATCAAACTTCTTCCTCCTGAATCCCGCATCATCTTCTACATCCCGCACCGTCCCTCCCTCAGGAGAAACATGCACACCCTCCGCTTTGGACGTGCGTTTCCTTGGTCGCTCTGAAGCCCACGAGATCCCGGGCCGCTTTCGTTTTGCCCGCTGATCTTTACGGTAGGCACGTTCGGCCCGCTCTGCAGGGGTTTCCTTCAGGTTCAGGGGCATGGAATATGCGTGAGGGGTTATAGGAATACAGAATGATGATGATGGTGGTGGTGGTACAATGTGTGGTTGCTGATTTTAGTTAGGGTCCACATGCATGAGCGCTTGTGACTAACTCCCAGTAGCGTTGCAAGATATAACAATTGTCCGAGATCATTCCATGGGTTAACTAGGACTATTGCATCTCTCCTTCCTTGTTTTCCACTCTTTCCCTCGCTACAAAAGGATACGGCACCTCCTCCCCAGTAGTAACAGCCATAAACTTATACTCTCCACCCATACCAGTCGAGTTTACCAACCTCTGTGCCGCCCGCGCAAGGGTCAGCTTCTCCTCGTTCGTCTGGGTCGTTTTGAGGAGGGCGTCAAGTCGCTGAGTAAGACCCATACACATCAGGAAGTCGCGCTGCGTTAGTGGGCCGTGGACGTGTGCTAGCGTTTGAGTAAGTGTATGCGTCTGGGATGAGGAGAGGCGGACCTTTGCCTTCCACCGCTTCGCGTATTGCTGCAAAGTCCACATTGGCGGTCAGGTCGCATTCTCCAGGGATCTCAAACAGGTCGACATGCTTGTGGTTTCTAAAAGCCTGTAAAACATTAGAATCGCATCGTACCAGAGGGTCAAAACCTTACCCGCAGGGAGGAATCGAACACATGGTCATCCCCGTAGTCGACAATAAGCGCCGCTCCTTTATTAGGCTCGCCAATCAGCTTTCCCACAGCCTGTGCAACCGCCGATACCTGAGGCGACACCTCCATCCGGCTCCCGTTAGGCAATGCCGCATATCGGGCTGATGACTGGGAGAGGAGAACCGCCAAGGGAGTGTTTGGCGGAGATTTTGCGAAGCGGAAACTGAATGCACCGGGATGAGGTGTGAGCTCCGCATCTGCTGCTTCGCCTTCTTTGGGTTGGTCAGGTCGTATGAGATCGACCATTATTTCCCGAATTCCGTCTTCGGATTTCTGCAAACGATAAGTAGAAAAGACGGTGGAAAATGAAACTCGAACCTCGAGCATGTGGATAGGCATCGCATCAAAGAACTCGTGTGCGACGAGCATTGTATACACATTTCGATCTGTACATGTCAGGAAACAATGGAATAATACAAGAACTGTGACGGACCTGGATCGATTTCCTCTAGATCGTGGTGCCATTCCAGTTGGACATTTTGTGCAGCCGCTGAGGCTTGCAAGACTCCTTTTTGCATCTCTCGCATGACACGACTGTTTTCGACCATATGTATCGTTGCCAAGCAATCCGCCATGCCTTCAATGGACAGCATCGTCTGCCAACGTGAATGTCAGAGATCGCACAACAGTTGCGCCATATGTTCACCCTCAACATGTCCGAAAGTAGTGTACCACGCCCAGGGCCGAGTTCGATGATTCTCACAGGACATGAAATCCCTTTTGATTTCCATTCATGCATAAACCAGACAGCGATCAGCTTTAGAATATGAGCAAAGCATCCAGTGCATGATAGTGAGATACTACCTCTCCAAACGTCTGGCTAATCTCTGGACTCGTGATGAAATCTCCTTTCTGACCAAATACATCCCGTTTCATGTAGTAGCCTTCAGTAGGATGTCCCAGACAGAATTGCATATATCGTGCAATCGATATCGGTCCTGTAGCCTACATCACATGACAATATCTCAGACCCGCGTTACGCCGTTCCGAAGTAAGGGTAGGTGACCTTGATTGAACCGGCAATCAACTTCTCGACAGGAGTGATGACTCGACCTGCGTCCGCCAAGACCGCTGGCGCTTCAGACGGAGCAGCATGACTCAGTCTCGCAATGTTGCCAGGATTCAAGCGAGGCAGTGAGCGTGCAGCAATTCCCGGCAGACGACATCTGGAAGAGCTGGCAAAACAGTTCACATGGTACCGCATTGAAGATGAGTCAACCTTGCTCAACGGTGGGTGATGGAGGCCGGGGTGAGGGTAGAAGTGGAAATGCCGCCGCTCGCTTCCGGACAACCTCCAAATTTATTCAGGGCCTTCTCCCGACGAAATTGCCCTACCTAGCTATATAACCTGCAGTTGTTGTCTTACGACCTCTCAACACACAGCCTGAACAGGCTCATCCTATACAAGCAACTTAGAAGAAACTTAGAAAAAACTTTAGAACAACCTTGAATCACTTCGACCTTCATGGCTGTCCGTGAGTACCTCTGCCAGCGCTAGTTTTTCGGTCGCGTGCTGACTGCACGTAAAGGTACACAATTCGAAAACTCCAGCGAGATTGGTGTATTCTCCAAACTTACAAACAGGTGCGCTGCTTATTCTTCATTTTCAAGAACAGACTTCATATATTTGCACAGCTACTGCCTCACAACAATTGGTGGCAGTACTAATTTCTACTCCGCGTTCGAAGCCGAACTGGGCGATGTGATACCCATCGTTCAAACGAGCATCGCCGGAACCCGTATCATCGGGCGGTTGACAGCAGGAAATCGACATGGCCTGCTTGTCCCGCAGACGACTACGGACCAAGAACTCCAGCACCTCCGTAATTCGCTCCCTGACACCGTCGCACTGCAAAGAGTGGAAGAGCGTCTCTCGGCACTGGGCAATGTCATCGCTTGCAATGACTATGTCGCACTTGTGCATCCCGACGTCGATCGAGAAACTGAGGAGATTATCGCGGATGTGCTGAAGGTCGAGGTGTTCCGACAGACGATTGCGGACAATGTGTTGGTTGGGAGCTATTCCGTTATTAGCAATCAGGGAGGGTTGGTGCATCCGAAGACGAGCATACAGGATCAGGACGAGTTGTCGACGCTGCTTCAGGTCCCATTGGTGGTGAGTGTTGATTGACCACTTTTGTCTTGCTATCCCTGATACGTGAATGACAGGCTGGTACCGTGAATCGGGGTTCCGACGTAATAGGTGCCGGTTTGGTGGTCAATGATTGGTGTGCATTCGTTGGTCTGGATACCACAGCTACCGAGATCAGTGTCATAGAAGCTACATTCAGTGCGTTTAGCTCTAAGCCTATTCCGAGACAAATTCTGATCATCCGACAGAACTGCAAGGACAGGAAACTTCCGCTGTCATAACGGACATGCGCGACTCTCTCATTGATACCTGGGCATAAGCATCCATCGAGTTGAGCTGTTAGAGATGATCGTCGCGCTTGAGCTCATTGTATACCATGTATTGCAACCAACGGATTCATTCTGATCAAGTACATGTAATGATGTTCTTTCCGTTGCAGAGGGCATAAGGGGTGTGCTATGTGGCGTATTGCTACAGTGGAAGTGTACGAATACGAAACGCCTCGAAGGGTATCAAATTATTGGCCGGCATCGTCTCCACCATCAGAAAGCAAAGCCCTTCTGGCATGATATATCTGTCTCCATCGAGCGCCGAGTTTCTGCCTTGACGGCGAAGTCATTGACCGTGTGCACCTCGCTGCACGACCACTGCTGCTCGCCGAGCGCGGCCACTAGCAAAACCCGTTGCTTCTCGCGCTGGGCCATCAACACCCGTCTGCGGCGTTTCTTCTCGTCCATAAGATCAAGCGCTGTTTGCCGCTTGATGGCCCATTCCACTTCCTCTTCAGCTGTCATCTGTAGGGACGGATCGCGCACTTCGACGGCTTCTAGGATCTCCCTCTGTGCCTTGTCCAGATCGACTCCAGAGGCTGTCAGAACAGTCTGAATAGGAGCGTGTGAGCGAGTTGTTGTCATGCGATGCGCGTAATCACAGCGTAACCTATATTAATGTTAGGCGGAACGGCGGTCGAGACTGGAGAATACCCACCCAGGTCCGAGGCAGAACTCGCCACCAAGCTGTTTGATATCGCCAGCATTTCCCAGGGGCATTTTCATGGCATGTTTCATGACCTGCATATTCGCATGAATACTCGAAACAAGCCGGCAGGCATCACGCACCATCATCATCCCACCCATCGCACCATGTTGGACATAGTCACCCTTCTCAGAGTCCGGTCCGCCATCTGTTGTTCGAAGTGTCATGCCCAGTGCATTATACAGTTTCCGGGTTGGATCGGTATAGAGAGGGAATGGGCAATGAAACAGTTCTGCTCGGCTTGTTCAGGAAATAAACAGATGAAAGTGTTCTCTGGACATACCTCGGTAAGACTTAATCATTTTGGGAGATCCGTTCGAGATAATGACCAAGTCAACATTTGACCTTCGGAGAGCAAGAGGATCTACGCCACGAGTGATGGAGAACATGTAGTCTTGACAAAGAGGGCACCTAGAAAAGAGTCTCAATATTCGCGCAAAGCGCGTGTATCAAACGACATACCAAAAATGACGAATAAAACAGATGATAGTCTTTCGACCCAAGAAGAGATCTCCAAACGGCACCCCCTTTCCGGCCTCGTCATAGACTTCCAGGCGTGCTGCTTCTTGCATCAACTGTTTCGTGATCGGGGCATTCGCGTCAAATGACAGCTTCGGTGAGCTGGGTGAGAGTGGAACAAAGGATACGCTCTTCCCACGACTTCGACTTCGACTGCGTTTCTGATCTGGATCGGGCTTCGGTTTGGAGAGTCGTCTGGATCGAGGTGTGCTGGTAGTCATCGAGAAACCAGCAGGCGTCTCGGGCGTACGCGGAGTTGTAGGGATCACAGGTGTGCCCAGGCTCAACTTCTTGGTGGGAGCGGAAATTGGAGGCAAGTCCATGAGGGCTTTCAGGGGTGCAGGGGTTTGCAGGGGCGTGGGAGGGGCGGAGCTCACAGCGGTCAAGTCGGAGGCGTCTGAGTTCGAATGACGAAACGCTGGTAGATCTGACATTAGAGAGCCAAAGTCGTTCAGAGATGGGATATCAGACAAGTATCCCTCATCGTCGGTGAACTTGCTGCCTAGTCGAGGGGTCAAGGTGCCGAAAGACATGCTACTGAAAGCAGGAAGCAATCCATGACTGGTTGATGAACGCAACTCTCCAGCTGTCGAGGGTCGCTTTGGAACGATTCTACGAGGAGCCATAATGCGGAATGACGAGGGTATCAATAAAGGGGGTGAGAATAGGCAAGTGAGTGGATGGTCAGCGCTGAGCAGCCGTGTTGAGAGCAGGGGAGACGCAAAGGGATAGGGGGATAAGGCCATCCATCAAACCAGGCACAGGCATTTATGAGGCATCCCATATCCGCACCGATCTAGACATTCTGCCTCCAGATGAATGAGCTGATCGGTAGACTGACGAGGGTGATCCCCACTGTGTGCCGTCCATTGGAATGTTGATTGTCGTGACAAGATTCAAGCAAGATCACTGGCCCAAATCAGCTGCCGGTTCCAGCGATCCACGAACGATCAGCATCCAGATCCTAGTCCGACTTACAGACGATAGTAACACCGACTACTGAGCACATCCAGGACAATGCAATAAGGAGAATCTAGCCCTGAACAGTGGTGCAGCGGGAGACCAAAAGAAAACACAAGTGTTTTCCATCAAGTTACGGTTGCATCCGCACGCGTTGGACACGCTTTGCCTCCTCGTCACACGCGTAACTCTCGTTCTTGCCACATCGAACCAACTGTCCGTCATCGCTTGTCTTTTAGATCCTTTCTGAGAGAACAACCTTTCATAAGCTCAAACTACTCATCTCAGGGCAGATATCAACACCGTCGCCGGACACTCCTCTATCTGCTGGCGGCACCTGGTCCCACCACTCGGAGCTTTCACAATCATATCGATACCGAAGTCGACCAACTTCTGATAGCGACCTTGAACAGCGATAACTACCCAGACCTATGCCTGACCGACGACCAGCAAAGGAATTAACAGAAGCTATTCTATATCCTTTCTACGCAGAGAAAAGACGGTATAATGCCACTCTTTACGATATTGCTGTCACACATGCTATCGATCAACTGCGTCTCTATCGTCAGGATGCGATAAAAGGAGTAGCAGCTATTACCAAAGGACATGGAGAGACCGAAGAAGAGATACCGAGCTTACAATTCCAGACTGGCAACAACGAGCAATCGTACGTTTGGAGGCTAGACAAGGACACCTCCCCACAAGCTATATCTCATGCGACAATACGCCTGACCGGCGTCGATCCCGCTCCCCAATACGAGACATGCCCTCCTGCATCCTTCAACCACTTGTTTGCCTGGGATGACGGCGAGTGTGTTGAATTTCTGCCGTTTCCGGACGATCCTACATTCAACATGGAAGCGTATCTTGAGTTTTCGGCCGAAGTTGACCGTTACGATATACAGCCATTCTCTTCTGATGCTGGCAACGGAATGGCCATCTACAGGAAACAGCTCACCTTTAACTATCTAAATCGAAATGTCGCAGGTAAGGTGCATAGCTGAGGTAGGCCAAAACTCACAATGGATCAGACGATCAAGCACTTCGAGACACAGCAGATGCCGTCTTTGAGCAATTTGATGTGACTATCGAGCTAATGGAGAAGATCTTCACCATTTTTTTTGCGCTGGAGATCAATGAATATCATAGCATCATGTGCACGGCTGTCTTCTACAAGGATTGGCTCGATCTAGGAAAACGAATAAATCCCAACGAGATTTCTAGCCTGAACGAGCTGACTGGTAATTTCATGCAAAGACATTATTGTTCTATACCCTCATGTCGAATGCCCGACTGCTTGCACGGTGCGTAGTGTCTGTCAGTCACACATCACATTTCCTGACAAGGATGTCTTAGCACTGGCAGTGAGAGTCACAGACCAGCTGCCCAGTGTGCCGAAGTCTGCACGTCTAGGCTTACGATTAGCCCCAGCCGTACCTTGCGGTAATGCTTGTTGCTATCTTGAGGACAAGGGGGAAGAAACAGAGGTGTGCCTCTCTATGGCCTCCCTGCTTGCGCTCCTTGTAATTTGTTTCTCAGAAGCTCGAAGAGTGGGACGGTCTGAAAATTGCCTTGCTGAAGGCTGCTGTCGAGTCATATCCAGATGTATGTTCCTGTGAATTGGCAGTTTGGTGTGATACTTCCTGCCGACAGGTGAGCTGAGTTCTCGCTCATGTACAGCTAGCTAACGAGTGCGAAGTTTGAGATGCAGAGATCGCAGCTAGAGGTTGAGGACAGCGGGCCTTCTCCCGTAACCCAACGCCGTGCGGTTCGGAAGACAAAGCAACGTGAGATCAGTCGACAGATGGGTGAGGACGGAATTGGTTCTTAGTGACAGAGACTGAGAGGATATCTTCAGCGGACATGGGTTCACAGTTTGAGTCGCAAACGGGCTATGCGTGAGTCGTCGCCTTCCTTGGTCTTTTCGCGGGGAATAACAACGTATAGCTTCTTCGTGCCTTGCAATCACAAGGGGCCATGTAATGCGGCCAGTGACTGCCACTGCTACAAGCACAGGAAACGATGCGAGAGGTGGTGCAGTTGCGAAAAAGACTGTGCGGAACCTTTGCCATTCAGCGCTGTCAATGGATCTTTTACAGTTCTACAGGCGTTAGGAGGTTTGCTGGTTGCAAATGCACATCCAACAAGGCTTGTGGGACGAAAGACAGCTGTGCGTGTGCAAAAGAAGGCAGAGAGTGTGATCTAGGGGTGTGTCATGGCGGTCTGGCAGTGTACGTCGGCATGATTGATGTTTGATATTTTGCTTCATACTACTCTATCCACAGGCTGGGGGAGCAGACCTGCTGCTCAAATATCCATTTGCAGGAGGGGTTTCGTCCCGTAGGTCGATCAGGTGGCCCGTGCTTGCGGTTCTGATACATTTCTATCAGAGCGTGACGGTGAAGCCCGGAAAGTTTGGGTGGGGCCTGTTTACGGACGAGCCCATTAAAGCGCATCAACATGTAGGAGGTAAACACAGTTAATATTCTCAATTTGGAAGCCTCTGATTCTGTTTAGAGTATTTCGGCGAACTCATGACTGTCGAGCGAGAAGAGAGAGAGGCGTACGAGTGCCACTTATGCCCGTCAATCATTATGCTAAGAACCTACACAGTGGTATCGGGATGTTCCTCGGGCGAGAATATGGATACGCAGCTAACATGGAGTGGAGTATCAACTCAGGAAATGTCGGGAACGAATCGCGTTTCATGAACCATAGCAATAAGCCAAACGTGTGGGCCAAGCGTGCGCGCGAGTCTCGTCGTCTTACAGAACGAGAGAAACTGATTCTCTGGGTGTAGCCATCAACGTGAATGGAGACATCAGAATGGGGTTCATCGCGGGTATGTGTTCCAGAAGGTTCTCTTTGTTATGGTTGACGAGCATGCTTGTTCACAGCTTCGCACATTGCGAAAGGTGCAGAGCTGTTCATCGATTATGGCCCATTGTTCTTCAGGAATGCAGCAAAAGATGACTGAATGTCAACTTCAAGGGGATGCATTACCGTGGCCTGGTCTAATTGGGAACATCCATATACAAGATTGTAATGAAATAGCAAATACGAATTCCACTTAATGTTCTCCCGCCTGCAGTAAAAGGAAGGAAGCTGAATACAACTTGATCGTATTATCATGTCGCCATCTAACATTGTAAGACTTCTCGAGGGATTTTCGCAAAACAATCGTCAGTGAAAGGCGAATCAAGCTTATACTACACATATCCATACACCCATACGCCCGTGAACAGGAACAATATCATTCTGGAACTACGCCATACATTCAACACATCCTATGTACATGGACCAAACGACTTCATCAGAAATGTCACACCCACCCCGCTGGTTCGCAAAACCGAGTCGCAAGCGGCTGGCTCGCTCACCAGCGCACGTCATCGAACTGCAAGTTGCAGCAAAGGTCTCGGTGTAAGAGCGGCGTGAACAGTCTCATCGAATGAAGTTAAAGGTGTGGCACATGTGAATGTGTGGACTCGGTTAGGTCACTATAAAAATGATCCTAAAGAGTATAATCATAGGGAACAAAGTAATGCGTTCAAGGGGGGTTATATACACCTGCGCACTGGCCCGTGCGCCGGAGGCTTTTGGACCCTAAGCAAGAAAATCTTTTGTGAGGATGTCGGAGCCGGAGTTGAGCCGGATTAGTCACCCGAGATGTGCTTCAAGAAGCCGATAATAGGGTTTCGTCATTTACCGCCATACATTACGGCTCATCATCCTCCATCTCCTTTCGGAAAGGCGGTGTATTAACGGTCTAGTGTCTGATTTATCATCAGAGGAAGTGGTATGATTGACAATACTTGGGAAGCGCTTTGTGAATGCTAGGAATAACACCGAATCAATCATCCACCTATCTCTGGGCTGCACAGTTTTCGCTTGGTTCAAGGCGATATTGACTCAACTTGACGTAAGAAGCTCCAGAGACACAAGTGCGTCGGTTGAAAACAAAAGTGGAAGAAAGTCCGATATTTCCGAGCGGAAACTTACAACCGGATTATCGAAGAAGACCTGGCAATTGTGATGCTGAGTGAGGACCAGGAGTTGGTTGCAGAATCGCCCAAGGCAACAAGTGCGCGCCTCCGTGGACGTGATGACAACCATTATGGCGTGGAATAGGAAACTGCAGATACTTTCTATGTGATGATGAAGCATTCTAGTCATCTTGTGTCGGAATTGCCGAGTGATCCGCAGAGTTGCGTGTGTGTGCCTCCGCAAGGGTGATGAGCCAAGGGCGGTACAGCTTTCCCTCGAGCTCGTCCGATATTGCTTGTACCCGGACAATAGGGCGCTTCTTGCCAGCTTACTCTGCTCCTCTAACGCATTGCTTCGGATCTTCTAGCGACTTGCAAGCGCCACGTCAACGGTCAGGGGGCAGCTTACAAGTATCACGGCAAGCGGGCAGGGCACCGCAAGGGAGACAGAAGAGTGCGATTGTACTATTTGCAATACTTTGAGTTCTACAACCAAGTTTGTACCATTAATCTGGTCATCAAGCAGTTCATCATTGACCATTCAAAGGCCTCGGCATACTTGTGGGTGCGTGTGAAGGTACGGGTAGAAGACAGCAGAGCCACGATCACCCGCAGTCATATAAATCCCCCTTTAGCCTCGAGGCACGCTCCTTTCCCCTCAACTTCACCCCCGACAGCTCGCGAACTTGGCGACTTACTACCAACCTTACTCTCCGGTTTCTGTATACCCTCAACAGTCCCCAATGGCTTACGATTACTATCGCGGTTACCAGCCTCAGTACTGGGGCACCCAACAGTACCAGCTGCCTGCTGCGCCGAGGGTCTCCTACGTGCCCCAGACCGGGTGGGGTGGGATGGACTACTACCGTGCTCACACCCGCTGGGCCGACGTTCAAGAGGATGAGTAAGTCTGCTGTTCTCCTAGTCTATCGTTGCATGATTGACTTTGCACTAGTGATATCTTCGATCGCATCATTCACGGTGTCAGGCGCTGGATCGGAAATGCAGGATCCAACGCCGAAGAAGCTCGTGATGCCCACCAACGTGTGTATGCTGGCTGGGTATGTAAACTCCTTCCATTTCTGGTAGGAGGAACGTGACTCACCCGGCTTCCCGCTTCTAGGTTGACATGAGAGTGACATCCCCCGAGATCATCGGCGCGGCCGCCGCCTACGAGGCCCTCCGTTTCTGGGAGACAAACCAGTCACTGCGCATGCCCGTCATGGACGACCTTGAGAGGGAGGAGGATGCTATCATGGGCTTGGCGGTCGCCGAAGGTGCGTCCTTTTCTTGGCGCTTCTTCACAGTGCACTGACGTGTACTATAGCCAGCAAACTATGGGGCTACACCGGCCGCTTGCTCAATGATCGTGGCAGGAGTGCAGCAGCCGAAGAAGCAGCAGCGACCGTACATCGGATTTTCCGCAGGCAGAACCGTGGTCTCCTGCGATACGACACATACAACTCTCTGACGGGCGAACACATCCACCGCTACGACGATGCCTACGACGGCGGGTACTACGACAGCGGTGGACTGCGCAGGCGTCGCTCGTTTGCCAACCTCACCGGCGACTTGGCTGCTTATGACGGGTACGACCGTGCCAGGCGTGCATCCTTTGCCGGCGGATACGGAGCAGCCCCCTTGCCCGTGTATGCAGGTGGTGCTGCACCTCTTTCCGCTGGCCTAGTACCTGGGACTGTCGCCCCACTTTCCGTCGCCCCACTTGCCGTCTCCCCATACGGTGCAGGAGCGGCGCCATATGGCCAACCCCTGATCTCTCCTGTTGTTGGCCCTGGGTATGCTCCTGTCGGCAGTGTGGCCGCATACCCGCCACCGCCCGGTAGCGCCTATCTTACCCCTGGCTACACTGGCCACAGGTACGTATGATCTTTCCCGCCTCAGCTCAAGCAGACACCCTTTGCGACCAACAACGACCTTGTATGCCTACTTTACACACCTGTTTGGCGCCTCGGTTATGATTCCCATACGTCTAATGACGTTGTAGTTGTATGCATGTTTTTCTTCTGCGATTTTTTGCCGGTCTTTGTCACTGTTTCCTTCCTTGTCAATCTTCTTGTCACCTTCCTCAACCGGCCCTCTGGGCACGTTACCAGTTTCAGAAAATTCCAAGACATGAGTAATATATCTCTAAAAGGGTGCCAATGAAAATGTGTTGTAGAGCCAAGATTGCGGAATGCTTCAAGTGCACGGGTATTGTGCAGCGTGTTTGCAGCTCGGACACTGTGTGATGTTCAAGGATATATGATTCGCGTATGATACATTTAGTAATTTGGTCCGTTCACCCGTCTATTCCTCATCCTCGGCGGTGTTAGCCTGACCCGGTATATCAGCTCACACGCACAGCAAGGATGATATGAAACAGAGCTCACCTTGTTGATCTCCCCACCCAAATGCTCCGCCAGCCCGTTGTACGGATACTCCCTCGGTACAGCCGGGCGATCGGGCCGGACGAAGGAAAGTATAACGCCAAAGGCCGTAAACACAAGGCAAGCCATCGAGAACTGGAAGATTGCAGACGGGCCCGAGACGGGGTACACGTCGGGTGCCCAGACGGTGAGCACTTCGTCTTGTTCATGCACCTGCAGTACAATAAGCACAGACAACGTGATACGCAGACAGAATGACCCACAGGTTCCCCGAAGTTCCTCCTGTCTTGCTTGTCCCACCACTGATCACCGGGTTGTCTCCATTGCCTGCTTACTGCTGGCAGCTGGGGATAGTCGCCCAACTGGGGATCGTACGGCATCTGCGAGAACTCGACCGGTGCGCCGACATCTTGCTTCACAGGCTTCATTTCGCTGATTGCTTGTGTTTCTGCTGGGGCCGGAGATGCCCGTACGATGCTGGACGTCGACAGTCGCGCAACGCGCAAGGAGCGCACGGCCGTTAAGGCGGCGCGGTGGGTGAGCATGGTGTAGGGAATGAAGCAGCGTCGACGACACTTTGGTGGGCGACACTGGAGAAGCGCACCGGGAGCAGTACGGAGGCTTTTCCTCGTTGGACCAAAAAGTCAGGTTCGAGCTGAACTTTTTCCTTACCTCTCCTCTGCACCATCTTGACTTCCGAACTTGGCTTTTTGATATCCTCAAGTTGTGAACGGGAGTGCATGTTGCACTGAGGGTGAGTATTTCGAGCCTGAGCTTGCTTCGTTCTTTGAAAGATGAACAATTTTGCATTCCTAAACATTCGATTCCACATGAGATTACTCTCCAAAACTACACTTGATCTGATCATATCTCGTTCATCTGTCTTATCACGCACCCACAGCTAACACCTGGTGCAGAACTTCTCTCAACGAACTTGCTGTGCAGCGACAAGTAAACAGTCCATGTCCATGCCTTGAGGTGAGCAAATGTTGCGATTGCCTTCGAGTGATGCTACCCACAATACCATACACTTTACCTCATTCTGAAACTACATGTTGATCACATTGATTTCAGCCTTATCTGACTCCTTCCTTTTATCATGCTGCTTGAACCTTTGCTAACATTCCCTGTCAGATCGATCAAGCGTGATCCGGGACCCAAGAAACGTGATGGTGAGCGTCCAATCCTCGTGCTTGCTTGCAACATTTTTTCTCTTTCTTGCGGATGACATTCTATCGATGGGCGGACAGAGGCAGTCCAATATGTCCACGGTGTACAATATCTGGGCGGGCTGCCAATTGTTGATTTACATCGAATCTCTGATCATTTCTGCACCTTTTGGGTTTCTCAGCCGCTGACACGTTGCCTCAGGTTTGCTATCATACTTAGTAGGAATAAGACATCGTAGCATTTCCATAGCTGCTAATGAACACGAAATTACTCGAACCATAACTATGACCTACCCAATATCCATGCAAAGTCCCAATATGTTACTGCCAAACACGTTCGACGGACCGCGAATCTTCAGAGGGATGAAATCGTCAGAGCTCATATCAGCCAAGGCTAACGTGCCTTTTCGCCCTGTGGTCACCAAGTTGATCCTCACCGCCCGGCCAGCGAGCGTAAGAGGGTTGAGCAGCGCTTCAAGTCCGTCGAGGTCCTCTTCTCCAGGAAGAGTGGCCGTAAGGCTCTCCAATGTCGGCAGGATAAGAAAAGCGTCTTGTACGGCGTCCATTCGTGCGACCTCTTCCAGAGCTGTCCGAATGTCGTCCGCGTCCATGGCTTGGACGAACAAGGGATCCAACGATTCCGCCGTTCGCCTGAAGACGTCGGCCAGGTATTCTGCCTCGTCACGTTCTTCTGCGTCTATCGGAGAACATAGACTAGGTGATATCCATTTAGGCAAGTGGGCGCACATCCATAGCGGACGAACGCATGTACCCTGCCAACCTATAACGCCCGTCTACATCTACTGTTGAGCAAATACATAGTTGGATGAATGGGGTGCGTACGATCTTTGAAGGTTGTTCCGGGTCTACGAACAGATTTCGCGGTCCCACATCTTCTAGATCGATGGCGAACGGAGCCAGCTCCGGGTCGTCCTCGTCTAAGCTCCTACAGCGAGTGACAATATCGATCAAAAGATCCATGCTGCGTTCCACGGCTTCTCGCTGCGCAGACAGCATCCTCTTGTACCCTTTTGATGCGTTCCCTGCGTCCAGGCTTCGTGCAAGATCAAGCTCTCGCTGGGCACAGGAGTAGAAGTAGCTGGATGTATGTCAGCTGGTGCAACATGACGTGAGTATCTACTCACTCTGTTGTGCTACGCCATGGTCCGCGATCAAGTTCCATCGGCCCTCTCGCCCCGGCGCAGAACGCGTCAGAGGTCATAGGCCCAACAAAGAAATCCATCATACCGTCCCAGTACAGGCTACCCATTTCCTCAAATCTGCAGTTGAAGAGCTCCACATTCCACTCAGCGACTTGTTTGACGATCTTTCGCTTATCGTAGAGGGAAAGCGTCTCCCAAACTGTGCTGAGGAGAACTCCGGGCATCTTCTCCATCAATACAAGATGGCTGTCTTGGTAAAGTACCACAGGCGCCGGGATTTCAGGAAAATGTTGACATAGGTACTGCATTGTGGCAACCTATGCAAACTAACTTAGTATGAACGTGGACATGTTGATGTGAATATGACGTACTTCAGACTCAAGCCTCATAATCGAAGTCAACGGTCCGACCTCCCGAGCGATAATCTCGGTGGCATCAGACAACTCCACGTCCATTGTCTAAGGCACGCTCAGAAGTGGTCCATCATATTACGAATCGTCGTCACCAAACAATCAGATCCCCATCGAATAGGCGTAATCTCCACCACCTCCAGGTCCAGTGCCCTCTTGACCGCACTTTCGATGGCAATCCTATCGAACGCGAATCCCGATGCCAGCGATTGATTGGCCATGAAATGGTCGAGAATCAGTAGAGAAGGAGCAGACATCTTCAGCAACAAAGCTCGGCACCGATGTCCTTGATCGGCGGATTTGCCAGACGACGCCCTCGCGGGCAGTTTAAGATTGATAGTGCAATGACAGTAAGATCCGCAGTCGACTCATGCTGGAATACTGTAAAGAGATAGCACGTGTCAATCGTGCGTTTTCCCCGCGATAGAGACATGATAACATCAGTGAGATTGCTGAGGAGACACGAGGGTGCAGTAGCCCACGAGGATAGAAAAGCAATTGGATGAAGCTAGGTACCGTAGTCCTGTTGTCGCCTAGAAGCAAGGTACATTAACGGTTAGGGTCTTGACCAACATTTCATGGCAGCGACCACTTCAGCGCCTGGATGGCATACAGTGTTAGTACAACTCTCGTGTTCAGGATCACTACTAATTTTCCTGTAGGTCGATACGAATACCATTCGCATCTACTGAGCATGCAGAGATAGCACGTCGGGTTATAGATGTAGACAAGGAGCTCCAGCCGAAGGTCGTCAGACGTGTGCTTGAGATCGAGGGGAACGAGCTAATCGCGTAAGTCTGTATCTCATATGCCCAGATTCTTTCGCTCACGTTTGGTAGAACTTTCACAACTCTTACGGTGCGATTGGCACGCCTCGTAATCAACAGCTATTTGGAAAATCTGGATCTTGTTCTACGGACTTTGGAAGCCTTTGCACCTGAAGTTGCCCCTGCGGCAGCACCTGTTGGCTAGGGAATCACTTTGATGTATGGGTGCATCGATATCACCCGCATCAAGGTTTTGGCGACACGATACGCCTGCTTGTTGTGCAACACCCGTGATTAGCCTAGAAGTGAGGATGACATATGGTCAGATGTGGTATGGAGGTGGACACATTTGGGTCCAAACAGGACGAATGGGACACAAAACCGTCTCTTGTTACAAGATGGTCGCTATATAGTCCGAGACAGAGTAGTGTACTATTCGATCCATATGAGAGTTTTTTTTATTCCTCTTCTTTTTCTGCATCCTCAGCCTTCTCCTCGTCAGCAGACGCGGCCTTCCTGTTCTTCTTCTTGTTGTTCTCCCGCAGCTTCCTCGTCAGCAGCTCCTTCATCGCCTCATCTTTCACTTCCTTCTCCGTCTTGAGTTTGTCGGCAGAGTACCACACAGGTGGGTGCGTGAGAAGCGCCGGGCCGCCAGCAAGGAGAGCAATGGTAAAGTGGAAGCCAGCAACGAAGGTGTCAGCTGGGGTGTAGCTATAGGGGCCATCAGTATACCCATGTACGGGGCCAAAGAAAATGCAACGTACACAACCTCCAACGGTCTCAGGAGGCCGTGCTGAACCGCCTCGCTGATACCCATCCGCGCACGCTTCTCGTCCTCCAGAATACGCAGGTTGAATGGGAAAGAGCTAGCCTTTCGCTTGATCTCGGAAAAGATCGTACGTGAATTCTTCATCTTCAGCTGGTAGGTAACTTCGACTTGAGGGAGATAGATGGTCACGCGGGCATCCTCTGAGCGAGTCTGATGATGTAACTCAGCCGATCATACTGGAAATCCAGCAGTTTGCTGACCTTGCCCTCCCCTCCAGATGAAACCAAGATATCCATCCCGTACACTTCGCCCTCTGTGAACGTGCACACTTCGTTCGACCGACGCTGCTCCGGTGACGGGTTCAGAATGATTCTCTTCTTGCCTTCGATTGAATTTTGCAGTTGCTGACAGGACAGCATACCTGAGTCGTTGTCAGAACCTTGGCTAGGTGGAGTGCGGCCAGATGCTTACCCTCAACAGCGAATGTATCAAACTCCGACACCACCTTCCCAACTGTATCCGTCACTGTGTAATTCTTCTCCCCAGCCTTGATTAAGCGCATCGCAGCCTCAGCAGCAGTCCAAGCAGCTTTCACCGCATCTGCCTTCTTTCCTTCTGCAGGAGTTTCTGCTGTTGCCCCAACGATCAGAGTTTCTGCGCTAATGGAAGCGTAGCCGTCGATCTGAGCTCCTAGTTGAATTTTGACGACATCACCATTTGAGATGGTTGCAGCAGATGTGACAGGGTCGGATCTATGCAATTGGGCAACCGATTAGGATACCCTGTGCGCCGACGGCGAATTGACAGCTTACGCGAGAGGAGAGAAGTGGGCAACACAGTTATTCACGGAGATGCAGGTAGGGAATGCCACACCTGAAAGAAAAGAACGCGAATGTTATTACAAGATTGACAAAAATATATGGGCCCAATACCCTTTGACACCTTCACACCCTTCACTGCCTTGCTGTACACGCCAGCGAGCTCGTCATCAATTGCCTTGTCGCCCGCCACACAAATATCCAGGATCTTCGCGCCATCAACGCAGAGCGGGATGAGCTTTTGCACGACCTTGTGAATAATATCACCAGCTGACTTGTACTTCGTGAGCGTTTCAGATTCCATGATGCGTGTATAGAGTGCAGTAAGATGAAAAGTTTTGTACTGGAGAGTGAAATACGTCGTGTGAGAGTTAATTCGAAAATTCCGGGCTGGCGGTCAGTGGCTGTGACTCCGCTCGTGACGCTGTCAAGCTCGCGTCAACCGTGTCGTGAATGCGTTGTTGCTCTTGTTGCCGTGGTATTCTTTGACTTCGTATATCTAACTTGATTGATGGTGCCAAGGGAGATTGAGCAGTGGACCAACAGAAACTATCCAAAACCCCAAGTTGATCCAGTCCGTGCGATACTCTCATGATATGGGCTTTGGAATGAACTTGTCCTCCTAAGGAATGGCTCGCACAATGCTACAATTACCTTGTATCTGAACTTGGAATCGCGCGCAACGACATCACAGCTCTTACGAAGAATATAGAGTCTCAAGTGAGGATTTTGGTAGGATCCCGTTCGATTCAATGCTTACATGAGCTCAGTTGTTGCAATCGGACCTTCATGATTCCACGCTTCCTCAGACCGGACTGCCAGAGAATCCTGCTTCTCTGCATGCCGTGAATCTTCCCCCTTTTCTCCTTCTTCAAGTGGTATCAATTATGGAAATTGGCCACTCGGCGTTCTCTCTCCAGAACACGCGACAAGCCTGGATCGAGAAGGCTGACTTGGCTGGTTTAGCTGCCCGAGAAGACGATGGCGAATATTCTGCGGGCGAGTTCCCCAGGTATCCTCGAGGCATGCTCAGCCTTGAATTGAGCGACGGGTACAACGTAATCAAGGCGATTGAGTACCGGAGACTGGACGGACTTAAGCTAGGGGAAACTCCGTTGGGTTACAAGGTCTGACATCCTGTACCACTGCTCCACTATTTGCTGATGTTTCCATTAGATCGTTCTCAAGAATGTGTCTGTACGACGAGGCGTTGCTATGCTTCAACCTAACAATGTGGAGCTACGAGGGTACAGCAACCAGGAGCTGGATGCCAACCGAGATGCCGTGTTCACTCGTGGTCTTAAAGAGCGCATGGGGTACTTCCACCGCGCCCATATGTTTTCATCGTACTGATTGTATGTAGGCTACCTGTTGATGACGATCAAAACGCTCAAGACGGCCAAGAACCCCCAACAAATGCAGGCATAAACGGTCAACAGGCACGACAGCAACCTGCCGCTCCCCCACGCGCTGCACAACCACCGGCCGGGCGTCAACAGCCACCTCCGCCCAGAACTCCTCGCACAGAGCAAGAACATGATCCCTCTGTATCTCCTTATTTTCCTAACAATCGCGCTGGCCCGTCTGTCCCACTTCCACGGTTGCCCGTCCAGTCACGACTGGAGGATGAAGTGTCAATCGATGACTTTGAATTTGAGGATGATATGGATGACAGCTTCCTCCGTCAAGTTGATGCTGTTGAGAGGCAGGCTACGACCCAGAGCGATGCCTCGCGTTCCGCTGGTACGCGCAGCATGGGGGTGATCGCCATCAGCGATTCTGAGGATGAGGACAAGGAGAACATCCCGATGCCTCAACGGAAGAGACCAAGGCGAGAAGAGTTTGAGGACGTGATCGAGCTTTCTGATTAGATGATTCCCTCAGATTCTGTTCTTGTGATGTATGATGTCGAACGTTCACCAAAATCATGATGAGAGTAAGGCTGTAGTATTCTGTCGAAGTTTGTGGCGGTGTTGCGTTGTTTCTTGAACACGACGATCACCTGGACGGCGAGAGATCTCCGTGGTACGAAGCTATTCTTCATGTTCACCTCTCTTGATCGCAAATAAAGCATGTCTGCTCCCTCTCCTGTTCACATTCTGAGACAACATAATGCGCAGATCAGCGCACTCGCTTTCTCATCTGACAACCGCTTAATCTACTCTGGCGACTCAGACGGCATGGTGTGCATCATTTACTGCAGGACCTTGCGGCCGATTTCCCTTTGGCACGCGCATGACGGCAATATACTGGGTGTCGAAGAATGGGATGACAAGATCATCACGTAGGCTTGCTCTTTCTTCGGTAAGGGCTAGGGTGTTGAAACGATACAGACACGGGAGGGACAATAAACTTCACGTTTGGCGCGCGCCAACAATCATCCAAACTATTTCGGACAGCACCTCGACAGAATTGGAGCATCCTCAACTTCTGTACTCGCTCGATGTGAATGCTCTGAATTACTGTCGATTCTCTCTACTTCATGGCTCGCCCACGGACCAATCCAGTCGCACTACTGCTCTTGTCTCCCTTCCAAATCTCATAGACTCTGACTTGGTGATATGCCACCTAAGTGATAACTGAGAGAATGACTGACGTTATAATGCTAGGCTGATGTATGGGAGCTACCCTCTTGCGAGAGACTTCATGCTGCTGTCGGTAAGGCAAGTCAAGCGCCCGCCACACTTGACGGAACAGGACGTACCAAGACAGGTTTGTTCTTTCAGCCAGGTGTACAAAAAGTCCCTGATCGCATGGTAATAGGTATTATTATGTCTATGCATTTGTTTCGTGCACCTGCAGGGCTGGGGTCAAGAAGCGGGCAACTCCGGATACTGGCTGGCTATGAGGATGGAAGCGTAATGTTACACGCCTACGATGGCAACGCCTCCACATCCATTGACGGGCAAGGGTGGGTGGATCTATGGACATGTAAAATCCATCGCGAATCCGGTAAGAATTTATAATACCGCCAATACGACCTGGGCTGAATGTATAACTCCGAATCCAGTTATGCACTTGGCGATCAGTCCAGATTTGGCCTTCTGTCTCACTGTATCTGCGGATCATCTGATTGGCAAAATCCATTTGAAGGTAAACCGCCTCTCAATACTTCCTTCTTTCCTCACACATCGTTTAGGACAATATTTCCGAGGAACGGTCCATGGTACATCGGACGAAGCATCCAGGTAATGCTGCAGTTGTCATTCGTTCAGACGGTCGTGTCTGCGCCATTGCAGGATGGGATGGGAGGTGAGCTGCAGCTAACGACATTGTGCATTACCTAATGTGTATGTGTAGCGTGCGATTGTATTCAACAAAGACCTTTAAATCTCTTGGCACGTTAGCATACCATCGGGACAGTTGTTACGCGGTTGCGTTTGCAAGTCTCCACCCTAACAAGCACGAAAAGACTGCAGTCGATGAGGATGAAGATGAGGATGAGGATGAAGACGCTGAGAAGAGGACACGGTGGTTGATCGCTGGAAGCAAGGATACCAGAATCAGTGTTTGGGAGCTGATGGACTTCGACCGAAAGAGAGTTCGCCCTGTGTAGTGCGCGCTATGTAGCATTGGAATGTAAAGATGCCTGGACGAATTTACTTATGTTGTGTCCGAACATGGCTCTAACAATTGTATACTACATGACATTTAGGAAGAATGGTGCAGTACCAGGCAGTAGCGATCAAGTTGTATTGTGTACTGGCCATGGAGCATTTACTAAGAAAAACACCGAAGACATATTGGGGAGAAACAAGGTTTGGGCGGAGGCAAAAGTGATCCAGAGTAGTAGTTGGCCCTACAGGCGCGCCCACAAACCACACCTTGAAGCAAACGACCATACCCCATAAAGTATACCTCGACTTTGAACGACCATCCCTGCATAAATTCACGATAGAACCCGATAAATTACGAAGGTGAAGAAGGAAAAAGGATGGCGATACGGAGGACACCGGTACGAGGCTCTGATGCTCGACGCGACGGAGGTTTGAACTCATGCCAATCCAGGGCGTCTCACAGGCTCCCAGTCGACCCACTTCGATGGTAGATCTACCAGGACAGCTAGAAGCCATATTTAACGAATGGCCGTCGAGATCATACAACGAAGATGAGATACCAGTCGTGCTAGGATCTGACATCCCGGACGTGCTGCTGCTCTGGTCGCGACAGTATAATGATTCTGTTCCGTTGCTGGATATGAACGACGAATCAGTCAAGCATCTCTTTGAGACCGAACATATTCGAAACTTTCAGCTGACTCCTGATCAAGTCTACCGTCTTGTCGCTGGGCTTCTTGAGACAACGGGAGGATGGAACAAGTGCGACTCGGACTCTGACGATGAAGTTTCGATGCTCAGTATGTCAACGCCCTATATCTCCACCGTCCCATACACTGACCATTTCCACAGTGTCGACAGATGATGAGGAATTACCTTCTAAGATTAACCTCAACCTTCCAACTCCGAGCCAAGTTCCCCTGCCTGCTAGCGCTGGTACACAGCACAGCTCTCCAGACGAATTAGAACCACCGCTGAACGCGGACGACGAGTTCTTTGGAGACGCTATCAAGTCAACTCCTGCCCGGCGCCCCAGGACGTCTTTGGATGCGCAGAACCTCCGTAAGTATCAGTTTCCAAGTCCCGAAAAGGCATCCGCATCTGCGCCCTCTCTCTCCCGTTTGAGGACCACATCGAATCCAGAAACACCTCCAAAGAAGCAGAAGAAGGGTCATCAAGTGTATGAGAGCAGAGGTGACATCCCGAGTGCCCCTAGTAGTTGGAGGCATACCAAGCCAGCTGCGCCTGCCAAAAGGCGTAGCAGTATTTCTCGAAGTAGCCATGATGGCAGCGATGTGGAAGTGCGTACACTTTCTGTCAAATTGGTTCTGATTTCTTACACTATTCTCAGGACACGTTCGGGAGTAACAGGCCCCCTTCAGTACCTGCATCTCCGAGATCCGCTGCTTCAGTTCTTTCACCAATTAACATATTACAAGAGCTTGAAGCCTTCCCTATGAGCAAGGGACACAGTCTCCAGGCATCACTTTCGGCACAATCCAGGACCGGTGACTTCTATAATGATCCTGAGAATGATCCGCGTTTCGAGGAAGGCGACTCTATCCTCGAGCTCGATATGGACAGCTTCCATGACATGGAAGCCAACTTTGCTAGCAACCCCGTATGTGCATTGGTTTACGTTCACAGCCATTTCTGATTTCAGTTCAGGATGTAATGCCTGGTGACGTATCTATTACCAGATTATACGCCTATGTCCGCACTTGTACGAGGTTGATGAATCAAGCGATTCAGAAGGCGCAAGACTCGGAGGCCGAGATGAAGAAATCTGAAAGAGACCGAATGGTGCTGAGCGATGATCTCGATGATGCGAGGCAGCAAGCTGCCCAGCTGAAGCGCGATAATGAGAACTTGCAGCAGCAGATTGTATGTCAACTATCGTCATCCAAGTGTAGTCACTTACCGATTCCTCCAGAACACACTCAACCAGTCCATAAGCGCGGTAAGTACCCGCATCATGCGCCATCCTCTTACAATGCTTATCTCACCTCTTCAGTTCGAAGTCAATGCGGCAAACAAGGACCATGAGTTGCGCCGCGTCCATGACAGGCTGCACGACAGAGACCGAGAGCTCCAGCACAGTCGAAGTGCGTTCTATTCATCCGTGCAATATGCACCTGACCTCCTCTTTAGCCCAAATCGAATCATTTAAACAAACGGTCGCCCTGAAGGATGACGAAATCGCTCGGCTCAGGGAGAGCGAGACAGAACTGCATGAGCAGATAGCCGAGGTACGTGAGCCCATGATGTCCAGTGACTGTCTCTGACGAGTAGGGGTTTCTGCAGTCGGATCATACCCTCCGGTCTTTGCAAATCACGCATGCGAATGAATTGAAAGAGATGAAAGCCAGGGCTCAGGATGCAGAGGAGAGGGCCACACAGCTCCGAGAGGAAATCAGCAGTCTCGAGAATGAGAAGGACGCCGAAATCAACAAGGCACAAGCTGTCGAAGCCGAACTTATGGCTATGCGGGCATCTCAGTTCGATGTCTCCAAGAAGACGAGACTGTCGTCCAACAAGTCGCCATTGTCGAACGAATATGGACAAGAGGAAACGGATAAGGGTACCCTGATCGATGAGCAGTCTGCCGCGGAGAGCACCGATGCAGACAACGACACGTTCGTGACGCATACTGTCATTACCAGACGAAAGCAGTCAAGAGTGCGTTCATCACGGCCGATCTATGTTTTCTGATCTGATATCTGTCTAGAAATCTGGTGTAAAAGCCGGGCCTGCATCTGTCTTGGCAGAAATTGAGAACTCGCGCTTCTTCGCCGAGGTTGCGGTACAATCTGAGCCGCTGGAACACGCGTCAACACTGGCGGACGAGACGGTCGTCGAGCCGGCGGAGACCAAACTCAAACAGGATGAGATTGTTGCGCTCCCTGCAGACGAGCCATTCCCGTCAACTTTGCTGCTTAACACCACCGGCCGCTCCGCGACGCCAGCTGAAGCAGAGTTGGAGAAGAAGCTGCTCATAAAGTGGCACGCGAACCTTGCGTTGCCTATCGAAGGGCTCGGAAAAGGCGTTACAGATGATGCTGCCTCGGAGTGGGCAGTGCTGAGGCAAGAAACCGGCAGTGGATGCGCTGTCATTGACCAGCTGTTGGAAAGGTCGAAGAAGACGGGCCCGCGGCCTGGATCGAGGAAAGCCGAGCCACCCCAACCTATCGTGTTGGTCACCGAAAAGTTTGTCTCAACCAAAGATGTGCCGAGCGTGTACACCCTGCAATCCATCATCCGGCAGGTCATCACCTCAGTCTACCCACAGTACAAAGGAGAGCTGGACCCGTACATCGCTATGCTCCCCGCCCATCCACTGGTGCTGAACCGCAATACCATCCTCGTGCTCGCACTCATGCTCGCCTTTCTCATCTTCTCTTACACTTTCCTCCTCCTGCACTGGGCGCCCGTGCTCAACCCGGCTGCGTATTACCCCGGTGTTTCCTACCGGGATCGTGCGCTCTGGACAGCGTATCACCAGTATGCGTACCATAGGCGGTACGGCCCGCCAAGGATGTCGAGGACTAGCCCGCTCAGCGACCCGTTTACCAGAGTGTGGTGTAGGGTAGTCGAGTGGGTGACATGATCATGATCTTCTCTCCAACTTCCATGTCCACTTTCGCTCTATCTATCTATAACCGGTCTTTTCATCTCATGTTGTATACCTACGCTTTTTACCCCAGCTGGTTACGCACTGATTGTCACTCGTTCTTATTTCCATTTAAATCATTGTAATAACCGCAGTTCCCGGATGTACGTCACTCGTTATAATAGGATTAATTACGAATCTCAGAGGTTGTATTATGGAACCCCACGCTCGATCCCTTGACGTCTCCCCCCACCTTTCGGATCTCCCCGCTTTCCAAATTGACATGCTGGCTTGACATTTGACAGGAGGAATAGATGATGAACTTGTGAGACCGGTAACCCTTTCAAATACGGGGCAAACCGGCATTGTTTCTTTACACGTGCCGTTGTGTGTGAAATAACCGGAGGCTTCTTTTCAATGAAATTCCCCAGATTGCGGGGACGCCGAGTGAATAAGTACCGTTTGCGGGTGGTCGACTCCCATCAACCCCCTCAACGGACGACCATCTAACATCGTACAGCAGATATGGTACGGGCTACACTAGTAAAGCAGCGCAACGAGTCCCTCACAGTGAAGGACGAGCGCACGGGAAAGGTGTATTCTATCCCGTAGGTCCATCACCATCACTACTCATGCACTGATCTCACTCGGGCATAGCATCACCGAGAACTCCATACCTGCCACTGCGTTCAAGAAGATCGTCGCTCCTAGGAAAGGAGGGGAGAGGGAGGAGGACGAGACGGAGCGCGGGCTGAGAGTGCTCGACAAGGGGTTCCTGAACACTGCTGTGATCAGGAGCGAGATCACGTATATTGATGGGGAGGCTGGGGGTGTGTGAACCGCATATACCCCACATGATATTTGCTGATGTGGGTCGAAGTGCTGCGATACCGTGGATATCCTATCGAGCAGCTTGCAGTCAATTCCTCTTACCTCGAATGCGCTTATCTCCTGATTTATGGCTCGCTCCCCACACGCACCCAGTTTCGCACCTTTGAGAACGAGGTCATGCATCATAGCATCATGCACCACGATTCTGAGGAGCTGTACAGCTCGTTCCGGTACGATTCGCATCCTATGGCTATCCTCACCAGCGCGTTTGCCGCTCTGGGGAGCAACCATGCCGATGTAAGTGATTCTATTGAGAATGTCTCCGGGAACTGTTAAATGGTATTTTGGGGTAGGCGAACCCGAGTTTGGCCGGGCAGAATTTGTATACCAGGGGCACGCCGGAGAGTCTGGCTGTGATGGATAAACAGATATTCCGTCTCCTGGGCAAGGCAACGACCATGGCTGCGTACGCCTCTTCCTACCCAAAACGAAGCTACCTAACATGGTCACAGCATGGCCTACCGTGTGCGCCAAGGAAGGGCGTTCGTCACCCCCCCAGTGGGGCTGTCCTACACGGGCAGCTTCTTGTACCAGATGGACCATCTCGGCGAGGAGGGGTACAAGCCTAACCCGGTCCTGGAAAGAGCGCTCGATGTCCTGTTTTTGGTTCATGCGGACCACGAATTGAATGCGTCGTGTACGACTGTGTTACAGACTGGAAGCTCGTTGGTCGATCCGTACAGTGCTATTGCGTGAGTGTTGCATCTTTCTTAAAGAAAGAAGATCTGATCGTGCATAGTGCCGGATGTGCATCCCTCTACGGCCCCTTGCACGGCGGTGCGAACGAAGCTGTCATCCGCATGCTCATCTCCATCGGTTCGCCAGACAACGTCCCCCAGTTTCTAGAGCAAGTGAAGCGCAAGGAAAGCGTACTCTCCGGTTTCGGGCACAGAGTGTACCGAACTTCCGACCCACGGTCGTTCATCGTCCGCAAGACGGCGGACGAGGTGTTCGCCATCACGGGTAAGGACCCGCTGCTCGAGACGGCGATGCGGTTGCACGACGAAGCGATGAAAGACGACTACTTCGTTTCGCGGAAGCTGGCGCCCAATGTCGATTTCTGGAGCGGGCTGATCTACCGCGCCATGGGCTTCCCACTTGACTTCTTCCCCGTGTTGTTCGCTGTGCCTCGGGTAGCGGGCTGGCTCGCCCATTGGAGGCAGATGATGCTCCAAGAAGGTGGCGTGAAGATCTGGCGCCCGAGGCAGATCTATGTTGGCCCGGAGGTGAGGGAGTTCGTCCCTATCGAGCAGAGGAAAGATGAGAGTAAGTCTCCGAGAGAGAAGCCGACTGAGGTGTATCATTCTGGTCAGAGCAGACGGTACTGGCTTGCAGAGTATAAGGGAAAGGAGAGGGCCAAACTGTAATTTTCCCACAGTTCAAAATGCCCAATTATAGCCCATGGATAGTACAGACCGATTAGTCGTATCACTTGTAAAATGTAGTTATTCCGCTCAGCACGAAATTATTGCGGCGATTGCGGAAGAGCGGAAACGGAACAGCTTACGTTTGTGTTCCTGTGCCTCTTCAGTCCCTGTTCACCGTCGACGACCATCCACGACGGACGACGACCGCACGTCGACGACAGCGACGACGATGGCGCATTCTGCTCAAGATCTCGCCAGTAGCGGGTATCTCGACCCTCTAAGAGTATGCTATATATCCTCATACATCCACCGCCTCTGATAAGGAAACAGGAAGCCCTGGACTCGTCATTCACCTCGTCCGACCCATCGCTGCTCTCCACCCCCGCCCCCGAAGCTCCAGCCCAACCCCCCACTCAGCCCGGATCTCAGCCCTCAGCCCCCGCCCCCGCTTCAGCCGAATCGAGCGACGCACCAGCGGACGACACCTGGAAGGCGGAATACGACAACCGGCTCGCGGCGTGGCGCGCTGAAGCTGCGGTTGCGCGGCAGAAGGCGGAGGAGGAACGAGCGAGATGGGCTAGGATTAGGGAGACTGAGCCCCTTCCGGACGTGGTGTTTGACGCTCCTGGACATCCGGTTGAGCCTGTACTGGGGGAAGGAGCCAGCGAGCCCGAAGGAGGGCATATGTTCTCCGTACGTCCCCCACGCTCCTCGCACAGCAACAGCTGACCCCCCACAGTCAGTCCACTCAGACTTCCCATCCATCGTCTCCCTCGGCAGTACCCCACCTACGATCCCCTCCCTCTTCCAGACGGACACCGACTCAGGCGTCGAAGTGTCCGCAGGAACAAAGTCCTCTCCAGAAGCGGACGAGTCCTCGCTCGCTGAGAGCGCACCTCGTCGGCGACCTGCTGCTAGCTCTTCCGCAGCGGCGGCGGCGGCTGCAGCGGCCGTCGCTGCTACTGCTTCTAAAACTGAAGAGAAAAGCAAGGAAGCCCCTAAGCCCGAAGCACCGATAACGCTCGTAGTGAGCGTCTTCTCCCCTAACTTACCCCTCCGTACCCGACTCCTAGCACTCGCAAGCACGCTCGCCATCAACTTGGCGTTACCTTTCCTGAACGGTGTTATGCTCGGGTTTGGGGAGATATTCGCAAAGAACTATATTGCTGTTTGGATTGGATGGAGTAGGAGGTCGAGAGGCGCTCCGACAGCTGTTGGAGTGAGGTACTGAGGTGGCTGATGGTGGCAACACTCGCAATTGGAACTGGGCATGGACAAAGGTGTGGACAAAATGGACGTGGATGATATATTAGAGCTGTGTCGTCAAGTCCTGCAATGCAATACATATGCCATGCTCTGCGTCGAATATCGCGGTGTTGAGTAGTACTGTGAATGGATGAACGAAAGAACGAACGATGATACACCAGGTCTCCTGCTCCTCCTGCCTGCTGACTGCTTCCTGCCTACAACCGCGTGTTCTCGGGGATCTTGCGCATGGCTTGCCTCACGCCCAGATCAGCGAGCACGTCCTCCGCCCCACCCAAAAGGCTGTCAAACGGCACTGTCCGATGATAATGCTCTATGAACCTGCCCATGCCCGTGCGGGTGATCCCACGCCCGCCAAAGACCTGCGTCGCTTCCTCTGCCGTCTGCTGGGCAGTCTTGGTACAGAACATCTTGAGGAAGGCGATTTGGCCCGCGAGCTTGGAGGACTGCTGCTTGTAGCTCATGTGGCACATTTGGTAGGTGACGGCCTCGAGCCAGGATTGGACAGCCTCAACGCGGGAGATCATCTGGGCGAGCCTGTGTTCGCGGTATTTGTCAGTTCGTCAGCAGAAGCTCTTTGGACAGAGAGACGTACTTGGCGCGGATGATAGCCTGACCAGTCAGAGGCTTTCCGAACGCCTTGCGCTGATGTGCCCACTTGAGGCACTCCTCGACGACGTGCCGTTGACTCCGTGCACTCGCGCAGCACATGACCCACCGCTCGTGGTTGAAATTGCTCAGGATGACAAGCAAGCCCCCGTCTTCCGGTCCAAGGGTGTAACCCACCGGCACGCGCACGTTGTCAAACTTGATATATGCGGTGCCCGCGGTTGGAGAGTAGGACGTCTTGATTTGCTTTGTCTGGAGACCCTCGCAGCGCGGAACCAGGATGACGGTGAGCCCGCCCTCGGTCTTGCACCCGACGGTGAACCAGTCGGCAAACGTCCCGTTCGTGATCCATTTCTTCGTGCCGTTGATGATCCACTCCTTCCCATCTTCGCTCTTCACAGCCGTACAACGGAGACCGGCGACGTCTGAGCCGGCAAACGCCTCGCTAATCGCGAGACAGATAAACTTCTTCCCCGCCAACACGTCCGGCACCACCATCCTCTTCACCTCCTCGGAGCCGAAATTGAGTACCGGAGGCAAGCCGATGACCATCCCACCGAGCATACCGTCCCCATATCCACGCGAACCAGTCCGCGCCAGCTCCTGGGTGATGATCAACTCGTGGAAGTAATCAAACTTCTCCGGGTCGACCAGGCCACCCATGAGCTTGCGCCCCTTGAGATGCTTTCCCGGCCCCAAACGCATCGCATGCATCTCCATCTCAGCCATCTTGTCAAACACGCTCTGTGAGGGCCGCTTCCCGTCCTCCTCCCTGTCATGCGCGTCGGGCGTGACGTACTCATCGACAAACTTGCGCACCGCCAGCTGGAACTGACGGTGGTTCTGCCCGCGCAAGCACACACATTATCAATTTTCGACTGCAGTGCTATTAAGCCGTCAGTCCAGCGTACCTCGGTAAAGTATGGGCTGTAGTACCCCTCGTTCAGCCATGTAGGCTCGGCGTAAGGCACCTGGGAGATGTCTCCGGGTTTAGGGAAGATGATCTTGCTCTCTTCTCCCTGAACTGTGCCGATGAGGAAGCGCTTGTACTGGGGACGGAGGAGGACCTCCATCCTGTGCAAGCCGAAGAATGCGTCTGTGGCATCCTGACCTGCTACTTCTGGGTCGTAGAGGACTGCGGCACCACCAGGGTGCATCTCTGCGAAGCGGGAGAGGTCGTACACCTTTGCGTCGATGATGACCCAGAGGTCGTCAGGCTTGTTGTGCTGTGATGTTGTCAGCACGCGGGGACATTCAGGTGGAGGTGACGTGCCTTTGCGATCTCATCAGTTGACAAGATGCGCATTTCTTTCTTTGACATGATTGTTAGTTAATGATAAGTTGAATGAGGAGGTGGACGTCGAGAAGAGAGAGAGAGATGGGGAGGAGGGGGAAGAGATGAAGAAAAAGGCGAAAAAAGGGGGCGGTCGCTGGCTATAAGAGCGATTTCCCATAAACGGTGAATCATGTGCGATCGAAGTTGATTTCATCGTTGACCAATCATATGTCATTTTACAATATTCACATGCACGGATGTAAACCTTGTTGATTACCGGCTCACCGGTTGGCTCATCCGGTGTCTCACTCAACCAATCAACGCCTCTTACTCTTATAATCAATGGGTATAGATCATGTGATACCAAGCATACAACCACACAAGAGTTATTCATATCAAAGGGGATACACACGGGCACCTTACCCACGAGCATCTTCTTGCTCCCTCAAACCATTCTCCGTGTTACATGGAATAAACATATTTAGTCTACACATCAGCGGGACACAATCCGGGGTTGATATCTCCTTCAAAGTCGGCGTTGTATAAAGCACGACTCCCATGCCTCGACCGCGTAAATCCCTCACCGGCCGCCGCTCACGACGATCCTCGCCGTGAACAGCACCGCAGCTCACCTCGTTTTCCTAACCGAGAACCTATCAAACTGCAGCACGTCTACCTCTCCCCACTCCTCTTTCACACCCTCCATCCTCCCAGGGCCCATCCACACCCTATCCCTACTGTTCCGATACTTAACACCTCCCTCCTCACCAAAAGGAAAGACGTACAACACCCGCAACACCCCCTCCTCTCCCTGTACCACCCCCTCCACCCCACCCGAACTCGTGTTCCTACACCAGCCTACTACCTCTAGCTCATGCGCTAGCGACCGGCAGAAAGCGCGGAAACCAACGTGTTGCACCCGGCCGGTGACGAGGAAGTGCAGCGTATGCGGCATGCATGCGAGGCGGGAAGGAATCAGAGGACTTTGCTGTGTGTTTTTGATGAGGGTGCGGACGAGTAACTGGGTTGCGGACGGTAATACTGTGCGCTGGTGATGGGCGCTGGTTGGCGAATCGTGGGGGGTGTAGGTGACGTCAGGTCCCGTGATTTGAACAACTTTGGGCGTTAACTTCCGACAACGTGTTTCTCTCCTCCTTCTGAGCAATAACTCTCACGTGCTTACTTTATTTTTTCTGTTCAGAATGGAGATGAGCGCTTGTTGACTGTGACCGTCACTGATATAGACTGTATTCCGGAGACTGCCTCCACTTGCTTGCACTTGTCTTCACGTGTTCAACATCCACCGACGTGACAATAACGGCAATCTGTGCTCTACACTAATAACAACAACAACAGTTCTACACAGGATAAAAATCAACAACAACACTCAATCCTAATCCGCTCCTCCAGCCTTAGACAAGTTCTTCGGGTCCTCATCCACCTCCTCCCCCAACGCTCTCAACTTCTCCGTCCACCAATCCTTCGCCTTCTTCTCCTCCTTCTCATACGCTTCCACACTCACAGGTCTCTCAGCCTGCGACGTCGCTCTCAGCCCATGGCGCACATGCGGGAAGCTGTCAAACAGCGCCGTATGCAGCAAGCACCGGTTGTCCCACACCACCACCTGGTTATCCTTCCACCTCACCCGGACCTGGCACTCCTGCTGCACCTCGACCTGCTTGTATATGAACCCCAGCACAGCGTCGCTCTCCACCTTGGGGATCCCAACGATCCGCTTCGTATACGTAGGGTTGACGAAGATCGTCTTCCACCCCGTAACGGGGTGCACCCGCACAAGAGGATGAAGTGTATCCGTCCTCCTGCGCCTAGCCTGGAATCCCATAGCCATATGCTCCTGTATCTGATCACCAGACGAGTGGAGCGCAGTAAGCGTCTCAAGATACCGCTGGAACTGGGGCGAGAAGCTGGAAAATATCGCATATCCCGAACTCCAGATCGTGTCGCTCCCCGAAGGCGGCGCCGTGATCAGTTTCAGCGCAGTAACGCCAGGCGGGTTGAGCTCGTACGTCTGGTCACTGTGCCACGTGGGCTTCTTGAGCCAGTTCGGGTCGGGCGCCTTGGTCCCGTCGGAGAAGACGACGTGGACTGCGTTGAGCTTCGGGTCGGGAGGCATGGCAGTGACGGCGTGCAGATGGAGAGGGCCGAAATACCCTGTCAGGCTAAGGAGGCCTTCGATACTGATCTCCTGGTCGGGGAAGACGAGCACTCCGCGCTGAGCGACAAGCAGTGCGCTGCCAAACGCAAACGCCGGACGTCAGCCCATCCCATCCCATCCCAGCGCGTCGCAAACCAAACACACGTACAGCTGGTCCTTCTGCTTATCCGTAAGCTTCGCCAAGTCCACCCCCTCCAGCCTCGTCCCCACCGCAGGGGTGATGTCGTCCACCAGGGAGGCGGCGCCCAGGAGGTCAGGCATCTCCGGGTCCGCGTCCAGCCCATGGTCGACATGCTTGAACTCGACAGGCTCGTCGTAGTGCACCCCTACGGGAAAAGTGGGGAGGTACTCTTGGTACTTGTACGCTTCTTTGTCGAATGTCCGTTTGGTCATGTCGGTAGATGTTGGGAGCAGAGGCTGAGGGAAATCGGTTTCCTTGAGTTTGGATCTCGACTCGCAGTTCTTAATATATACACCTCCCAGCCCTGTAACTAATCTCCACTCCTCCACCAACAATAACAGGTCATCTCCTTCCCCCAGAAGAGGAAAGCTAACCGCTTCCATCTCTCTTCTCCGCCAGGACGCCCCGGATCTCTAGAGCGGAGTACACTAGTTCCCCGCAACATACTGGTCAAGTGTCAGCTTCGGGAGTCCTATAAGGAGTTGCGGGGTGGTGTGGGGGTGGGGAAAGTGGGGGTGGCAGTGATTCTTCGGCCGCGTGCCTCGACTTCTGCGGGGTTTGGGTCTGGACAATCGGGCAGACGGTCGTTTCATTTCCGCAACTCTCACGTCTCCATCTACAACATGTATTAATCCACTAACAAAGAAGTACAATTCAAGATACATTCCACCGTACACGGTAGTAGCAAGTACAACGCGTACAACGCACCGCCGGCCAAGGCCAGGGGGATCACAGCGCCCGATACGGGATAAGAATAGGATAGGACAACAGAATATGATGCGGCGCAACGCGATAGGCGTGGCATGGGGAGGGTAACGGTACACGATATACACGAGTCCGATTACAGATACGGAATAGGGGGAAAGATTTCTGGGGAAAGGTGAATATAGGGGTATGAGATTGTTGGGGGTATACGAACGTTTCTGTTAGAAACTGATTGGGAGAAGCAGGCATGCTCAGATGCCTAGACCGAGCGATCTTGCAGAAGCAGCACTCCACTCCGTTCTGCGGGTCTCCATCCATCCTCCTATTCTTTTCCTTGCCCAGACGCTGACAAACAGTATCCTCTTCTGTTTCTTGTTATGTATGAACCAGTTAGCGCTCCACAGCAGGCCGCCCAGTCGCCGACGCGGGTAGTGTATCTCCGTCTCCTCCAATCGTTTACTCGGCTTTGGCTTTGTGGGAGTAGCGAACCCCTCGTCTGCAGGTGTGTCGAGCTCAAAGTCGAACGCGTCCCAGTCGTCCAAATCCAGGTCTTCGTCGGACGAGATCTCGTCCTCGTCATCAGAGTCCACTGCATGCGGGTCCCACTCGTTCCCAGGTGTGTACGAATACACGTCACAGTCCTTCAAGGTGATGATGTTGTCCAGTATCCGATAAAAGGTTGGGTGGGTGCCGGTGAGTAGCTCGTCCTGGGTCTTCTTCCTGCTTCCGGGAGGGTAGGACGCTGAGAGCTCAGGGGAGGAAGGGACGTCCAGCGGAGGCGGGTAGGAGGAGTAGGAGCGCGGCGTGTATTCGCTCACCGAGCCAGGGGTAGGTCGGAGGCTCAACAGAGTATTCGACAACGAATGGAGCACCCCAGCCGGACTTTCCTCTTTCTTGAACGCATCTGGCCGTACTTCTGAGAAATCATGGTCCGGAAATGCGACGTTGAGCGTGGCGATAAGGAGGTAGAGGACCTTGCGCGCGGATGGCTGGTCGAGTCTTCCAAAGGGGCTCGCGAGCGCCTCCTCGGGCGGGGAGACACTGAGGTTGAAAGCGATATCCTCAGCATAGGAGTGCTCGAGTGCTTTGAACATCTTCTTCTCGCGGTTTATGCTCTTGCATGAGTATGCTTCGATGCGCGTGCGGATGGCACACTCGGGCGAGTCGTACGTCAATGCATTTGAGAGAGTGAATAGCTCTGGAAACTCGAGGAACTTCATGCGTGCTGGGCGTGTCGTGATGTGTGTTGTGGTGTCCTCGTTGCTGAGTCTGAACGATAGCGGTCAGAGGGGGTGTGGTGGACAGTGAGGTCGATATATGCGCTGTGTCGACTCGAAGCAATGAGGACTGAGCGAGGTGGTGGGCAGGAGACAAGGGCCAATGAGCACCAGAATGGGCGACGGGGGCCATGTCTTAGTATAGCCTGCGGGACGCGGCCTTACCGGATAGCCAATCACGTTACAGAGCGCAAAGTAAGACTGCTCAGCCACTGAGATAGACAGAACAGGTGACGTCCATCATGGGGAACGTGTATCGATTTGGACTCCTCTTTAGTGCACGTTCGATCCATGTTGTATTTGAACTCCCTTGTCGACAGTTGTTTACACCATCCATATGGCATAATTAGAATAGAATAGTTATCCCCCAAGGTAGAGATAAATAACACCATCACAAGTTGGGGAACCGATCCAGCCTCCTCAGCTGGTTACCCATAGCCAACAAGTCATAGCACTACCGCTCATCAAACAGCATCAAACAGAGTCAAAGCGAGAGACACACAGAGCAGAGTAGATGACGGTACAGAAGAGAGGGAAGGGCACACATCCCTCCGCTGCAATTTTTAACGGCGCGTACGGACCTTGCGAACCGGTACCGGCAACGTGGTGTGATCCTTCCAAGTGCTGTTTGTGACTCGGAAAGAATAATCCCCACGGAAGGAGCTCATTGGTTGGCACTTTTTACGTGGAGTGGTGCTCGGGAATGGTATTGTACACTGCAGTTTTTGGACACACCCTTGAGGTACTGGACGGGACGAGACCAAACACCGCGAATGGATGCTTCACGGGGATTATTTTAACAAACACACGCCATGTACCCTAGACAAAGCTATAATTTTCTGTCTGGCAATACGTTTATATGAAGAGAACCGCGGTTCCGAGGAGGGCAGTCAGGCCGAGTACGGTATACCCAGTGCTATATGCGCCCTTGACAGTGAGGACTGCAGCTCCACGTCAGTCCACGATCAGTCTGCACAGATAAGGCACTCACAGTAGCCAGAGTCCCACACAAGATGGCGCACGCCGTTCAGCGAGTGGAAGACGAACGGGTAGGCGAAGATCGCCTTGGTAGTGAGCTTGAACCATTCCGGCAGTCCGTGGACGAACTCTACCACCGAGGCCGAGTCGAGCGGGATGCCAATAACGGGGGAAGCGAGGTATCCAATAGCGAACGCGTACAGGGCTGCAGGCGGGCATGAGGCGTCAGTCAGTCAGTACTAGCGGGCGTGGGGCTTGCGGACGCACCGAGGGAGAGACCAACACCGGTCACGCGGTGGAAGATGGAGGCGACCCAGGTGAGCTGAGGTTGGTAGATGGTAAAATGCGGGCTGGAGGGACGTTTCAGACGCTGGGTGTTGAGGATGACGCTCTCCCCTGCTGGGGGCATGGACTGTACTTGGACGCTCCTGAGACATAGGTAAGGACTCTGACAAGCGCGGGGAGCAGTGACGTACCTCGTCAACATAGGAGATGCGCGGCGAGCGAGCGCAGAAAGCCTCGAGCGTGCCATAGCCGGGGTTGCGACTGTCGTACATGGTGAGTATCAGGCAGCACAACGACAAGAAAGACGTACTCTGCATCCTGGAGACGCCGGCTGCGCTCCTGAGCCCTACACGCATGCCGACGACTGCGGTAGAGAACATGTTGTTTTCCTGTCCGACGGGGTGGCAGACAGCGAGGGAGGAGTGAGGGGAGGGAGGAGACGACAGCGAGCGGGGGTTGTGGGACGACGAGCTCGGGGCGATACGGAAGCGCGGTGATTGGCGACTCTTCTCCGCAAGTAATTCCGAGCCGAGGCTTGCCCTAAATCAAGATAATTGATCCCGTTCCCGCCACTTTGAAAGTACGCGTTCGCCTCAAATAGCAGTTGAACGCCTCTTGCTTTTGTCCCACCGTGTCAGTGCCCTCTCTTTCTCTCCTCCTCCTCCTCGACTTCACCCTCTGTCTATATCGCTCGGGGATCCAATTGTCTTCATTCTCTGTACTGTCATTATTCTCTTCATTGCTGTTGGCACAGTCTACGCGACGGCAACCCCCTGTAATTGGCAGTTCCCCCAAAACGTGAGAAACCGCGCGTTTAACCCCCCCTGTATGTCTCCAGTGTCACGCACGCGCCCCTGTTCGCCGTTTAGGCCAGGGCCGGTCAGCCTAGTGACCGGATATAGGCACCTTCTCCCCCTGCATGTATGCCTTTTCTGACCAGCGGAATGCAATACTAGGTTCACCCTTGACTGCTTTAACCCGTGCTGTGCGCTTGAGTCCCCCTCTGCTCTCCCTCAACAGTCAGAATGGCCGACGAGGACAACTTTGATATTTACGGGGACGACAACTACGACAACCTTGCTGAGGTGAGTCCCGGCGCCTGATGGGGAGGATGCTGCGACGCTGACTCATCCCAGGATGAGCAATACGAGGACCAGCAATACGGTCCCGAGAGCGAGCATCAAGGTCATGAGGAGGACCCCGAGGGGCGGAACATCCCCACGGAGACGGCCGCGCAGGAGCCGAGCGCGGGGGAGAAGCGAAAGCTGGACGACGGCCAGGACTCGCGCAGCTTTGTCAAGGAGGAGTCTGGGACACCGTTTGTCCCGTTTAGTGGGGGGAACGAGCTGGTGCGTGGTTGTGTGTAGGAGGGGGGCAGATGACTCATGCCCAGGTAGCCACCGAAGCCGATGGGAAGCCAGGGCATGCCGGGGATGCCTGTACAGGGTATGGGGTATATGAACCCTGGTCCTGGGTCGTCCGACGCGCTCTATGTTGGGGAGCTGCACTGGGTGAGTGGGGAGAGTGAAGTGTGTGCCTGGTTCGGTCTGACGGGTTACAGTGGACAACGGATGAGGACTTGCGACAGGTCGCTCAGAATTTGGGAGTTCAGTTGGAGCATAAGAACATCACTTTCTCAGAGCATAAGGTGAATGGGAAGAGCAAGGGGTCAGTTGAATCGCTACGTGACATACTGCTGTTCTTATTGGGCTATAGAATCGCCTACATCCAGTTCGAGAACGCAGACGAGGCACAAAAAGTAAAAGACTGGTTTGACTCGAAGTCAGTCATATTACAGATCTTCAGGTTTCGTCTAATGCTTGAGTAGTGACTTCCAAGGTCATCGAGCAAACGTCACGATCACCAGCTCGGCACATGGGAACCCATTCCGGACACTGCCCAAGCGTATGCATATATTTCTCTTTCTCTTTCCTCTTCCTCGCTAACTCCCTGTAGCTGCCGAACCGAACCGGGAAGGGAACAAAGGACCGCCACGAGGTGGCATGCACGGGAACCGCGGCGGCATGCAAGGGAACATGGGCAACCCAAGTATGAGCAACATGGGCCGAGGTGGTGGGATGGGGATGAACCAGAACCCAGGCGGTGGTGGGACCTTCGGCGGCCGCGGGGGTGGCATGCAAAACGGCAACTTCCCTGTCAACCCGATGATGGTGAACGCGATGATGGGCATGCCCCAGCAGATGGTGCAACAGATGATGCAGCGTATGGCTGGGATGGGGAACATGGGTGGTATGCCCGGTATGGGCGGGATGGGGAACATGGGAGGTATGGGTGGTATGGGGAACATGGGCGGTAATGTTGGTGGTATGGGCGGCCGAGGGGGTGGGATGAACCGCGGTATGGGGCGAGGGATGGGACGGGGAAATTATAACGGCAATTCTTCGTTCAACAACGACGGCGACGGACCGAGGAAACGTTCTCGGATGGACGACGGTTACTGAGCTTTGGATGCGTTTATACGTCTTTTATGAGGGAGACGCATCATGTCGGTTTAAATTATGGAGTGTAGCATGTTCCTCGCCTCTCTTTGTATGATAACGTATCCTTGTGGGTTATGTCCATGCCATTCCAACCTATCCAACGGAATATTGAACAGTGCAATAAGTTACAATGCAGTGCGTTAAGTGCGATAGATAACACAATTAGACCTTGACCTCCACAACGATATTGATTACCATGATCACCACGTAACCCACGATCAACCCAATTCCCCATTTCTTCGTCAGCCAGTAGTCGTTCCACGGGACTACGATCAGTGTGGCGAGTAGGATGACGAGCAGCCCCACGGCGCTCACTATCAGTGTCGGCGAAAAGATGATCTCGTACCCCTTGGATGCGTTCTCCCCTGCTACGACCATGCCGGCAATACCGAGCCCGATGAGGATGTTCAACATAGGCCCGGCGTAGCACGCCGCGATACCCATGAGAGGACTGCCCATCGACGCCACGGTGAGGTTCGCGACTAGGTCTGCCAGAGAGTTGCCCATCGCGAAGATGGTGAGGCCGATGATGGCATCTGAGAGGCCGAATATGACACCCAGCGTCTGATCACAATCAGCGCTCATCAACCAGAGGCAAGAATATGACTAGGTACCTGCAGCACACGAACCACTTCATCGGCTATTGCCATTATCCAGACAACGGCCACGAAGAATCCGAGGAAGCAGCGAAATAGTCTGAATGCGGGATGTTTCCCCGTCCCACCGTAGCGCAAGACGAGTCCGCTCATGAGAAGACCGACCCCTCCGCAGCCAAGCACCATCCATAAGAAGTACTCGTGTGTTCCTGCAGGAATTGTCAATTGAGTGTCGTAAGGCCGTAGACGTAGACTTACCGAGTATAACGAGTAACACCCACAACGGCCCCAAGATACACTGGATCGCCATCAACCACTTATGATGAGGTGTCTCGTCACAGCACTCGTCCTCTTCCCTCACGACGTTCAACTCTTCTTCTCCGTTATTTCCATTTGGATGCGCCACGTACACCGGAAGAGTTAGAGTCAGCAACAGGACAGCAGGTGCTGAGATGACGGAGAGAATTCGACCAGACCAGTCTTTCTGGCCAAGGGAAACCAGAGTGGGGAACAAAGTGCTCCAAATTGAGTAAAGCGCGCTGAGCACTCGTGATCGTCTGGGTGGTTTTTCATCGGGAAGTCTGACGGTCAAGGTTTGAGGCTCGGTACTTGCCTCTTCTAGGCTCCCCTCTTCAAGGGCTTGCTCTGGAGGGATGACATGAATGCTCGGCGCAGTGCTGGTGGCGGCATTGGATATTTCCTGTGCTGACGAGGTCTTCACTAGAGGATACCCGATCTGAGGAAACCCGAATGGGCTTGGTAGGTCGGTGCCATCAGGTGATGGGGATCTGAGAGTGATGGCACCAGATATTCGGCGCTGTCCAAGGTTGTGATAATGGCCTGCAGCAGGGGGCTCGAAGATCGCTTCGTCGAAGCCTGGTCCGCCGAAAACTGCAGATTCTCGCTGGAGGGACTGGACGACGTTGTGGAACTCTACTGCGCCCAGCAGAGAGAAAGATGGCAGATGTCGGCGGTGTCTTACCGTGCCGTGTGGTTGGGCGCTGTGTGGGACATGATGATGGCCATTGATAAGGTTGCTGGTTTGCAAAGGCGGTAATGCTCGTGGCCTTCCACCATTCGGCACAACCAGGAAGGAGTCAGACGGCGACATGGAAGGAGCCGGTGACGATGTGCGAATGAGTCCATTGGCCGAGAGAGTTGAACCCAGGAGTTCTGCGTTAGGTGGGGCGGATGAGGCGCGATTGATCCGCGGGCCAGCGGTGCCGATGGTTGGTGGTGGAGGCGTGGCGGGTATTTGCAAGGCAGATGCCTCATCAGAATAGAGGGATTCGATACGGGGAAAAGGAATGTCGCTGTCGTCGTCCAAGTATGGCTCGATAGCTCCCACGAAGTCGTCACCTCTGAAGGCTTGAATCTGCCTCAACTTCTCCCTCCGCTTGTCGACATACGTTTGTACAACGACCGTTGCCACGTACGAGACATATATGAGGATGAGTACCGCACCCTCCCATGCCATGAATATTCCATCGCTGAGGAAAGCGAGTAAAGCGGCGACCGACACGGCGTAGAAGGTAACATCTCGGAGGAAGGGCCCTCGCTGCACTCTGAAGGGCTTGATCAAGCACATCGATCCTGCAACGACCGATATTATGAACGTGCCAGCCCCCAGCAGTTCTCCGACAGCCAAGCTCCCTGAATCGTTCCGCATTGCTGAAAACGTGCTGAACAAGTCGGGACTCCCATTCCCGAAGGCGAGGAATGTCACTCCTGCGACGTTCTCGTCGAGTCCGAGCATCGTCGCAATAGTCGACAAGTTCGGGCAGAAGAAGTCGGAAGCTGATATCGATATAAATGAGAAGAGGAAGAGCAGCCATGCTACGAGAGCAACGACGATGAGCCATCGGACGGCTATTGGTGAGCAGAAGTAGATCTGCAGGTATGGTATGGACAGAATAGAGTCGGTCGGTGCGCAGTGTTCGTGTGCATATGAGCACTGTTCGATTCCTGGAACACTAAAGGGCTCGCATGCTTCATCTTCCTCCAGTATGCTGAAGCGATTCGACCGGTGTATAGTCCTCAATTGGAAGAAAGCGAAAGCGATGCATGCAAGCAGCCCGAGGGCGCCAATTTGGACAGCGATGGACCGGCGCATTGCATCTCGGGAATGCAGGACTAATTGACCTCCGCAGATGATTAGCAGTACAGCCTACGCTGTTCGTCTGAAGTTGTCCTGGGCTTCCAGGTGGTGGTATACAGCAAAGCAAGGTGGATAACGTATACGTCAGTTGCCGTCGTTGGCGGAGCCCCTCGTCTGATGACGCTCTGTTCGGGTTACGTCGGCGAACCCTGACCTCCTAAGTGGTAGAATGTGATAACCGCCTATTATTGGTGGGAAACAATGGATATTTCGTTCTCATTCCATTACAATACTGACAAAGAGAATAAATCGGGTGAATTGATGGTAGATGAGGGAATTTGGTTGAGAGAGGTATTGTACCGAAAGAGCGTCCATACAGTACTACTACCAATCTCTTTATTCGCGAAGCGTGAGAGTTGGATCGGCATCAAGCAGTCGACGAACGAAGCGATTAACTTGAGTCCACCCATATTCGTCTTCATCTTCGCCGGGGTCTTCAGTTTGACGAATCGCTCCGATATATGCATAGAAAACTTGGCTTTGGGCGGGAATACTGGCGCGCACCATCATTTCGTTGGCAGCGCAATTCAGACGGTTCGGTAAGTCATACATCCGAGACCACTTCGCCACAACTTTTTTGTCGACACGCAACGAGCGCTGTTGCTGTTCACTTCAGTTAGTGACGGAGATGCAAGGCAGCTCTTGTTAGCTCACCGTAAGCTCTCCTGATGCGGCCAGCGGTCGACTGTCCATAAGCCATTCAGTCACGACGAGAGGCAAAATTGTGGCCCCAAGCAAGGAAAGACGATCGTTGTTGTCTGCAAGACCAGAATGACGGAAAACTCTCTCCCTGACATCGGGAAGAAGTCCAGGCAGCTCAGGCAGAGGTGACCCAGTGCTGCCATTAGTGCGAGGACTGGCAATGACGAGAGTCTCGGACGTGCCATTACTAGTAGTGCCAGTACTGGAATTGACGAGAGTCTCGAACGTGCTATTAGTGCGAGGACTGGAATCGACGAGAGTCTCGGACATGGTGTTGTTGCGAGGTGGTTATTTCGTTGTCGTAGTGGAAGGTCAACTTGCTGTGGGGCCCAGGGGCCGCGTTCACGGCTTTATTTATATCTGATGAGATCGCGCGGTCTATTGTTATGCAGATCCAGCACAATCAGATGACCCTCATGATTTGTTGCCAAAGCGCTGGGGTTTTCCGCCGAATCCCGGTTCAAGCGCGATGTCAGAGCATTACTCGACCAGAACACCATTTCTTACCAACAGGTGCATGCTGTGGGGCACGGAAAAGTTGTAAATGTGAAAAGAACGACACGAAAAAATGAGACGATCCCGAACTGCGGGCGCGCAGTTACCCATTGCAGCGAAAGAGACGCGCGCTTGCTTGTGTACATGCTGTCGTGGGATTGAAACCGTTTGAGACAAGGACAAAGCTGAGAGCCTTGCGGTTGACAGACATCCAAGAGGCGAGGAAGTCGGGAGATGATTTCGGAAAGAAGACAACGAACGCCAGCGTTAAAACGATGGCAATTTGACATTCGGAATTCCAGGAAACAGAACTAGGAAAATGAAGGATCGAGAACGACCACAGCCTGGAGCCTCCTCATCACGCTAGGGAATGCTAGAGCATACAGCCATTGCTGACTTCCAAGATCAACCCTGATCAGAGCACTTGGAATGAGCAATGGAGTATACCACCACATTCGCTCGGGTCATGCGGCAGGTATCAGTCCATATCGCTCTACATCGACGTCTGAGTGCAGGCTCTCACTCGAGGGAGCGAAACAAGGCTCACCTATGAACTGGACCTGAGATCCCATAGCGAGAATAGCCAGTTTCTAATCAAAGAAAAGTCAAAGTTAGATTCGAGAAAAACCGCCGCCACATAAGCCTGAAAGAGCGTGGCTTGTGCAGAGGCGGCCTGCCGGACCGACTCCGTGTTCTCGCGGGCTCTAAGCTGCTTTTCCAGGCCGTAGTGCGTGGTGCACCACGCCATCGCGTCCTGCCTCATGAGTTCACTGCGTTCTTCCTAGACATTGCTCAGAATTTAGTCCGTTTTGGTGACAGAAACGCACAGTGATATCTCCGCTCGTCCCATCCGGGAACTGGACCAACTTGTACAGGGTGGCGATCGTTCCGAGGAGAGCGGCTCCGAGAAGAGCAAAACGGGTATTGTCTTTGGGAAGACCCCTGTGACTGAAGACTCTCAAACGTCTGTCTGCTTCTTGGATAGGAGGGAGGGGTACATCGTGGACCATGACTTCGATGCTTAGACAGGGAAATGGGGCAGGAGAGGCAGTGAGAGAGGAGAGGCAGAGCCTGAAGATGTCAAAGTCCCGGTCTGTCGCCTTTTATGCACCATCCATCATTCAATGTGCCGAACACGAGGCTGCCTGCGTAGGATTGCTCGTCCTTGCAATTGCCAGCGATTGTCCCAGAAGCATGTCACATGGCATCCAAAAACCCGAAAGAGACGCTGACAAGCCCACGTTTGATTATCTTCGCATATTGTTGGTAGAGGCAAAGTCATTACAACTCATTGATACCTTAGAAAAGAAAAGAAAAGAATGTCGGTATGTTGTTCACGTAGAAATAAAGATATCAACAAATCAAAGCTGCAACGGAGGCAGTCGACGACGCGTTCCCTTCACGCGAAAGACGCGTTGAAGAGAATGGTCGACGATTAGCGCCTCCTCAAGGTCGACCTGCATACATGGCGTTTAATCTGCGCACACCAACTGGGCCCAACGTACCGTATACACTTGCGCCAGTACCGGGTTTACAAGATCTCGAATCAACCTCCTTTGCTTCTTCGTTCTCTCTTGGTCCTCATTCTCTTGTCAAGTCTCTCGTGACAGGTGGTCCGTCACACCCCGCTGGCCTCGATCCGAATGCATCTCTTCTTCATGCTAGTCCCGTGCAGAGCCTTGCACAGCGTCTTGTGCGCAAGCGAGAACTTGCATTACAGCGCACGTCCATAGTAGGAACATCGACCCCTTTCCCTCAGAAGATCACACTCCCAGTGGCAGAGCCGGAGAAGGCAGAGGAGCAACAGGAGGGCGATTTGACGGAAGAGGGGTGGACTGCAGTGGACAGGATGCGGCTCTGGCGACATGATGCGATGACGCAGCACCTGTACGAGAGCTCTGTTTATTGGGGGGATAAGGTGCTCAGCTGGACCCGTTAGTGCACTCTCTGAGCTCGTCATACCGCCTATTGTAGCTGATATCCGTTCGATATTCGAATAGATGATCCGAATGATGCATTTTGGCTTGCACAAGCGCACTTTTTGAATCATGAATACTCGCGCGCCGAGACTCTCCTGCTTAAAGAGTTCACAATGCCAGCTAAGACCGCCCCATCACTCAAGGGGAAGGAACGGGAGGACTTGAATGGCTTTCTGACTGAGCCTATTGGGGGAGGGAAGATACAGACTGCTGGGAAACAGGGCGTACGATTAGTGGATCTGAGCATTGGATGTCGGTACTTGGCAGCTCAATGTCAGGTGCGTAATTATGTGCTTGATTTGCTGAAGACTTGTGCTCAAAGCGCTCGTAGGTCAAGCTGGGAAAATGGGCAGAAGCGCTCGAGCTACTGGGAGAAACGAATCCGTTCACTCAGACGGGTATGTAATGAGATGGATCGGAGTCATGTACTGGTATCTGATGCTGCTGTAGGTCAGTCTGGTCCTTTAATACCGAATCGTGATGGTGGGTTCAAGGTGTGCCCAACTGCCGAAATCGTTGCGCTATTGTTCATCGAATTCAGGTCGAGGCATCTATGTGCCACTTACGAGGGCTGCTGTTGCTACGGGTGAATCGCGCAGACCGGGCAAAGCAATGTTTTATGGAGGCATTGGCGCTTGATGTCAAGTGTTACGATGCCCTGGAACAACTAGTTGCAGGCGAGATGATGAGTGTAGATGAAGGTATGACATGATGTTCTTGTGACTGATTCACGCTCATCACAATGGTCAGAGTGGGAGTTCGTGCAAGGGTTAGCATACAAGGAGCAAACACCAGAAGATGCCGAGTTCGTGAGGCTAATGTATATGCAAAGGCTAAAAAAGGTTCGTCCGCTCTCAGTTTCATAGGCATTCAATGACATTCACTCAGTACAAACACATGGACGAAATGGCAGAAGCTCGAAAAAAGTTGGAGAGCCAATACGACCTCCACGGAAACAGCGACGTCCTCTTCGGCCTCGCCGACACCCTTTATAGTCAAAATCGCTGGGCCGACTGTTTCCTCATCACATCCCAGTAAGTGCAAGAAGCTGGGCTGCATATACGTAACTCACGGCGTTTCAGGATCCTTAATCAGGTCAATGTACACACTGCAACTCTTCCCCTACATCTTGCTTGTATGCATCACCTCTCGCATATGCATAGCCGCTTGTTCCTCCTTGCACATGAGCTCGTTGAACGAGAACCAAATTCTGCAATCAGTTGGTATGCCGTGGGTGTTTGGTATCTAACACAAAAGAAATACGGTGAAGGAAGGAAATATTTCAGGTTTGCAGACCCAATTCACTGCGCTCTGTTCCCTGATAGGTGTCTTAGTAAAGCTTCGATCATGGAGCCGCGCTTTGGTCCGGCATGGATCGGTTTTGGTCATACATTTGCTTTGGAGGGGGAACACGACCAAGCAGTGACGGCATATTCCACTGCTTCCCGCTTATTCCAGGGGTGAGTGTTTGTTGGCAGGATGAATCACTGTGCTGATCAAGATTAGATCTCACCTACCACTCCTGTTCATTGGCATGCAGCATCTTCAAGTTTTCAATTTAACCCTGGCAAGCGAGCATCTGGCTGCGGCCCTGAAGATATGCAACTCTGATCCCCTAGTGTACAACGAACTGGGTGTTCTGGAATATTATAACGAACAGCGAGTCATCATAGACTGCATATATTCTGCAAACTAAACCGTCTCTAGTTACAGCGACGCAGTCATCTACCTCGAGCGTGCCCTTGAGCTAGCCGACACCACCCAAAGCTCTCAGAGCATTTGGATCAAAACCCGTTACAACCTAGCTCAGGCATATCGGAGGCTGGGCCGATTACAAGATGCGAAGACTAATTTCACCAAGGTCCTCGATCTGCAGCCTAGGAATGCTTCGGCGATGACTTCTTTGGGCATGGTACAGCATCTGCTGGGCGAGATAGATGATGCCATCATGTCGTACCATGAGGTATATTGATCCAATTTGCGAGATCCCGCGCTAATCGCCTGCGCAGGCTCTGAGCATCAGACCAGCGGATAACGATACTATCACATTGCTCAACCTCGCCCTGGAAGACTCTGCCGACGCTGGTCACTTCGCCTTCAGAGGCATGCCCAAGGATATAGAAACATGGCGGACCAACGTGTTGCGCGAACAGAAAAAACAGGACCAGATGCGGAAGCTGGCGAAGGTGCGGTTCGACCCTGCGAAGGAAACGTCGAGCATTTCGCTTGTTTCGGTGTCGGCTATTGCAGGTGTTTCGGGGATGTCGCTCGATGATATGGACATGAGTTAGAGTAGATGGATGGATGGTCGGGTGTATAGTGCATGTGCATTGATTCTCTGTTTTCCTTCTGTCCCAGTCTTGACATGGTTATTTCACTCGTATCTTCTGCACATTTGCCTTAGCGGCAACTGACGAGCGCTCGTTTGGTTTCAATGGCCATCGTTGCCTTTCCACCACGAACAGTGATGGTATCGTATCACCCTTAACATCGACCTTCACTTCGACTGGTTGCTTATGAGGTTTGGGAGATGCCTGTGAGACCATATTAGACCATGTCGTCTATACAAGAAATGGGGTCTTACCCAATTCGTGCTCGCTTCCTTCAAAAGCCAGGAAGTATCCACGGCTATCCCGCTGACACGTTGCCTTCTCTGATCTTCTTCTTCTGTTGTATCCTCATATACGTGTGGGTTTAAGATACCTGCGATCATTTCAGCATTTTCAGCTGGAGTATGCACACGCATCGTACCTGCTAAAGCAGCCGGTTCCTGAAGAGAAATGCTTTGGGGTTGGCTAGATCCAGAGACGAGTTTGAACTCTAATAGAGAATCAGACCTCTCTATCGTCGTCCTTGTTGTTTCGATTTACCAAAGACAGGCTCCACTTGGACAGCATCTGCTACATGTCGCCTCTTCTTGGATTTCTTGGTCGATTTGAGTTTTTCCTCAGAATCGGGAACGATTGGTACATCCAGCTGGGCCTTGAGAGCATCATCAAATACCGCCAATTCTGTAGGATCAGCAGGAAGACTCGATCCTGCCGCCTCAGAGTTGCCGAATAGTTCTTTGCGTGAGCTCGTGATATAATAGTCCATGAAAACCAAAGATGAGCCTCAACAGGGCGCAATAGAAGAGTTAGAAGGACAATCCAAGCCTCGTGATGGATTTAAGGAACTGTTCACCTGAAAAGGTAGAATATCGATAACAGCACGTGCACGAAGCAGCTGAAAACGGTATTCCAGAACTCTACCGGAACCAGAATTTTGCTGTGGTTTGCAAAGGGTCCTCGAGCACTTTATAGATCGTCTGCGCTGTTCAATACCCTGTCATCACGATGCCGACCAAGACCAAAACGACGAAGCCACTAGAGAAATCTAGAAAAAGCGAGCTCAAGCCCAGGAAGGCCCCAAAGTCTTCTGTTCCTGCTCCTGCAGAGAAGGCACCTACTGCGGACAAGGCGAAGAAGCGGAAGCTCGACATTGAGCAGGAGGATGCTGTCGTTGAAAAGAAAAGGCGCAAGTCAGCAGTCGCGGACGGCTCAAATGAGGTGAAGGTCAAGAAGGCCGAGGCAGCAAAAAAGAGCAAGGAGGTCGCTAAGGTTGTGGAGGCTCTGCCCCCACCTGCCAAGTCGACGAAAGTTGCAAAAAAGGTTATGATCTCTGAAGGCGCGACAAAGGGCAAGCGCTCCAAGAACGTACCAGAACCAGAGCCTGAAAAAAAAGACGATGAGGCTGGGAATGACGATGTCGAAGATAATGCTGAGCAGCCTGAGGAGGAGAACGAGGAAGACGGCGAGGAGCTCCATGGCTTCACGAGCGGAGAGGATTCCTCAGATGATGACGACGATGTCGATGCCGAACCCATTGATCTCGGAAAGCTGCCAACTATTGCGAAAGACGATGCTACGATAAAGAGGAGGTTGGATAAGGCGAAGAAGCAAAAAGTATGCTATTTCCGTGTCTTCAAAAGGATCGCTCTGACCCTTTCTCTCAGACCGAAGAACGGGGAGTGCTCTATCTAGGGCGCATCCCGCATGGTTTCTACGAGGATCAAATGCGTGGCTACTTCTCCCAGTTTGGCACTGTCACGCGCCTTCGCCTCTCGCGCAACAAGAAGACGGGCAAGTCAAAACACTACGCGTTCATCGAGTTCGACTCGCTGCCCGTAGCCGAGATCGTGGCAGATGCGACAAACAATTACCTCATGTTCGGCCGTCTGCTGCAGTGCAAAGTTATACCAAACGAAAAGGTGCACCCGGGGCTCTGGGTTGGCGCGAACCGCAAGTTTAGGCCGGTGCCGCGTGCGAGGGTCGCCCGGTTGAAGCATAACAAGGAGCGGACGGAGGAGGATCAGAAGAAATCGGCAGAGAGGCTGCTGAAGAGGCAGGAGGAGAAGAAACGCAAGCTGGCGGAGTTGGGGATTGATTATGATATTGATGCGGCAGGCTTTGTGAGTTTTTCGTCCCTAATGTGACGCAAGAAAGCTGACAATGTCTGCAGAAAGCCAGTTAGATGGAGAGCGGTTGTGCTTTGCATTCTTTGTTCCCGTCATTCTTGGTTCTGTGCAATGTGATACCTTGTTCATATTTAGCTCAACGCGCATCTGCGAGGAATCACCGCACGCAGGCAGGAGAACTTGATCAAAGTTGGTGACGCTGGAATGATATACATACAATATGTTTCAATCGGAGTGGCATCTACATCAACCCCTTCAACAAGAATACACCGAACACGACCACAATTCAAGTTCAAAGAAACAATGCCAGAGGTTCGGCGTATCACTTGCCACCCTTCATCATCTGCAGGCGCTTGCGACGTTTTTCCGCCTCATGCTTCGCCTCTTCCGCTGCCTCCCTCTCATCCTCTAGCCTAGCGAGCCTTTCACTGGTAACCAAACATCAGCGTTGTCTCTTTCCGTGAATCACGACACTTACCTGGCCTTCTCTTCTCTCCACAAGTCCTCGCCGGTAGCTTCCATGTCGTCGTCGTCATCGCTCCATCGCTGATCCCTCTGCTGCCCGCCCCTTCTAAACATGGAAAGCACATCGTCCAGAGCTCTTCGCGTTTCCCCGTGCAAGCCAGCGTCTGAGTCCCTCCGATGGCGCGCACGCCCGCGATCATCAGCGCGTGACTGCTTCTTGTAGTGCCTATCCTCCTCTTCTGACGTATACTCATCGGATGGAGTGCGCTTGCGCTTGGTAGACTGAATGGCAGAGGAAGAGACTGCTGTACGCTTCGTATCAGCCGGGCGCTGTGGCTTGCTTGGGCCATCGACGACAGTCTTGGATGTAGAAGCTGAGACCAAAAAGCTCTTCGTGGTTACAGACGAGGATTGGGACGCAGAGGCTGGGCGAGGCGGAGCGACGGAGGTAAGCGGTTTATCCCGGGGACGCGGTGAGGAAGTGCCAACAGCCAATGAAGCTCGAGGGGCACCATTTGGCTTTTGGGCAGTGAGAGGTAGATCCTTCGGGCGTTCCTTGTCCTTATCTTTGTCTCCCTCACGGCTTCCATCATGGTGCTTGTCCTTGTCCTTCTCCTTAGGTCGTTCTTTCTCCTTCGGCTTCTCGACATCCTTCCTCTCCTCATCGCTCTCACCTACTTCCCTTCCTGCTTCATCCTCACTCAAAACCTTCTTCATCCCCGACATCTCCCGCATCAGCCTCTCCTGCTTAGCTTTCATGGCCCGTTCGCGTCGTACCATCTCCTCTCTCTTCTTCTCTTCTCTGAATCCGACGGGGTCGCCTTCACCCGCCGCAGCACGCTGTTTCTGCAGCTCCATCTGGATTTCGAGCGGACCACGCAGGTCGCGCTTTTCCGTGTTGAGCTTGGTGAGTGTGACAGGTAACATTGCGAGGCGTTGGCGAGCAGTTAGACCGTCGGAAACGCTGGTACTGGTACTGAGCGAGACAGCATGAGGATCGGTGACAACTCGAACATCTCCATCGCCCACTGCAACATCATAGGATAGATCAGTCCAGTGGGGTAAGAATGTATTCATGTCACTCACATCCGCGAACTGATTTCGTCGTACGAATTCCGGATTTTCGGTGCGATGCATCCCTCGTCTGCCTTTCAAATATCGCCCTCCTCCTCTCCTCTAGCGTCAATCCAACGGGTGTCGAACTCCTCGCCCTACTCCCACCTGCGCTCACCCTCTCGGCACTCGGCTTCGGACTCTCTGCGCCGCGGCTTGACCCATTCAACCTCTTCTTCAGGTCTTGCTTCTCCTTAAACTCTGAGCCCCTCTCCCTCTCGGCCTGCTCTCGCTCTAAGCGCTTCGCTTCCAGCTTCTGTTTTTCCCGCTCTATAGCCTCTAACTGCTTCGCACGCAGCGCAGCAATGTCCTTGCGTCGCTGTTCTTCAGCTTTGCGTGCACTATCGGCCTTACGAGCTTGTGCTTCCTCAGCGGCTTTCTGCTGCGCGATCGTAGCGGCTTGTTGTGTTTGGGCGGCTTTGGCGAGGGCAGCGAACTGAATCGCTATCAACGGCGAGTAAAACGGGTCTGGGTTGACATACACTACTCATGATGTGTGATTCGATGAGGAAGGTATACTGATACGCGGTGTTAGTACGAGGTCAGACGAAGTTGCCTCCACGACTCACGTGTAACACAGTGACAGACAGCAAAAGGATATAACACAAGCTGTCTACGTAGTCAAGCAAGATAAAAATCAATGTAGCAGTTGGACAATCGTGAAGGCCTTTATATACGTTGTTGAACGTGGTCCTGTACGCAGAGGTGGTGGTCGTAACAGAGTGGTAGTGACTGCTTGTGTGGCCAACGCTGCATGAAAGTGATGAATGCTTCCGACTCAAATAAAGTAATCTCAGCCATGAGGCGGCATCGCCTCTTTCTTTCATTCCCCTTCTATCACCATCCTCACAGTGAAGTGAAGCACTGCCGTTGAAACAATGGACAATATATTGTGACAAGAAAACTGAATCATATCATATCTAACGTGTTTTCTCTCTTATATCTTCAGGTGTTTCGTGCCTCCGCGGCCGTCCACTCGTCAACGGGTCTGCTAGTGCATCCACGTTTACTTCTCATTTCTCTTGGTCCAAGGGCCTATCTGCCTGCCACTCCCGAGAGGTTCTCAGTCCATCTCTTCCTCCTGGACCCTCATCAAGATATCTCTCAGCTTTTCTTGGTCAACTGCTATATACTGGCACAGCTCATTCACCCTGTTGACTCTGTTCCTCTTAATATAACACGGACGTCTTATTGGCTGGAGGACCTAAGGAAGTGTCAGTTGAACGGCTGTGGGAGATTCACGCGCCATGAATGTGTGCTCTTAACAGGGAGGCGCTTGGCGTTGGGAGACACGAATGAGGGGACGATGGAAGTGGAACGAATCCGGTGGAACACGTGACAGCCAGATTTCCACTCTCTGGGGTTATGAAAACAAAATGCCCTGGTGTGTCATATTTACGCATTTTGTACGCTATCCAACCCTGTTATTCCTCGGGACCGAAGCAAATTTGATCGTCTACCCTTCGCTTGGGGGGAAATATCTCTTCTACCCCACATGTTCGAATTCGTACCCCGGATCCTGGTTGTCAGCTGATCGCGTCTTCATCACAGAAGCACGTATTCTTCTCCTTCCCACTGGACTGATGACTCCTCGTTCCGGTATTACTTCCTTCATGCTGATTCTTCGTGAAAAAATCTGAGAATTTTTCTCCCTTTTTCATGGGACTAACACAAGGCTGAACGCTGACTGGCTCGTCGCTCCTCCTCCTCGATGAGCGGTGCCGCCAGCCACCATTGTTGATCAAGGTGCACCCTTTCCCACTCACTTGATGGTATGCCACAGCATCACCGTCGGTACCGGCGGCATCGAGCTAAGGGTGTTCAGTAAGTCTTCCCAGCCAGTCCAGAAAACTATAAAACTGCACCTGAAACCCGCCATCCTCGTCAGCTCCTCAGCCAAACACCCAACAAACAAACACAGACAATGCAGTTCTCCCGCCTCGCCTCTTTCGCGCTCTTCTTCCTCTCTCTCGCCTTCCTGGCGAGCGCGACCCCCATCGTCGCCAAAGAGGCCCACGAGCTTGAAACTCGCACCGCCCCAGACACAGCGGCCATCGCCATCGGCACGACGCTCCTCGCAAACATCCAGGCGGACGTGGCTGTCATTGCCGACATCCTCGCTGGTGCGACGGTCGACGTGGCCGCGTTCGCTGACGTGTCAGTCTTTTCCAATCTCGTCTCAATATACGCGAGAGACTAACGTTTTCTAGTTTCGCCCAGATCAACGTCGACATCAACGCAGCCGTCGTCGCCCTCGCAGCACTCGACGTCCAAGGCTACCTTTCCCTCCACATCCTTGCAGTCGTTACCGTATATGCCAACGTCTTCCTTGCACTCTTCCCGGCGCTCGTCAATGTTTGTGCTGCCGTCCCGGCGTGCGCGACGGCCTATTTCCCCGCGCTCGATATTCAGCTTACAGCGCTCCTCAACATCTGCATTTCTGTGTTCCTTGGCTTCTTGGTGGCTTTTGCACCTCGTGAGTGCTGTCCCACCATTTTCTGTGCTCTAGACTTATCCGATCCAGTGGTCGTGAGCATCTCCGCATTCCTCAACCTCCAGACAGCAGTCTTCGTCAACCTCCACGCGCTCCTCGGCTCCCTCCTCTAACTCCCCAAACGAAACTCTTTCAATCCAAAGCCGGTCAGAAAGTGGAGCTGTGCCAACTTCGCTCTACAACCCTCCCTCATGCCCTCAATATATGTCATTTAGTGAAATTTGAATGCGTATGAGTCTATCGTCCATGAGTCGGTACACAGTGAATTAGTCACAATCTCCTTCAGTCGGTGATCACAGCTTCGCTTTCTCCTCCTTCACATCCACATCAGCACGTACGACCCCTTCCTGGGTGGTGACAGCCACGAGCCTCCCATCTTGCGTATAAAGCTAAAAGCAGCTTCAGTCTCCGTATCTCGAGTAAAATGCTGACATACCCTTCCGTGCACTAAGCCCCTTCCCGATCCCCCCACAGGACACTCGATCACATGCAGCAGCCAGTCGCCGCAGTTAATATTATGGCTGTTCTCCATCAGTCCAACTCCCAAGTCCGAGTTCAACAACGTACTCGTAGAACCAGATAGAATGATCAAGTGAGCTGAGCATCGCCAGCCTATTCGGGGGCTTAGCAACGTTGCTCAACCTCATCGCCTTACCAGCTACTCCGATACTACCCTCATGAGCGCTTTCCGCATGGAGAAAAGGGAAGGACTCACAATGCTAGATCGGAGAGGTAGGCAACGATACACTTGTGGAAGCTCGGTTCCAGGTGTCCCACCCCGCGCGCTTTGAGCCAATACATCGTCCTCCCTCTCTCATCATATCCTTCTCCTCTGACCGGTCGTTTTGCGAGCTTGAGGGCAATAGGACTGTGCCGCCTATCGTTCGCGTACAACAGCACTCGCTCCCTAGCCTCCGCGCTCAGGAAGAGACTGCGCGCAGCTTGCTCGTACACCTCTTCCTGCAACTGACAGGCAGAAGGCGGGGGAACATCGGAGGGCATGGGCCATTGATGCATGGGCTGGATAAGCTCCGGGCGGTGGAAAGAGCAGTGCATCGCAAAGATGCAGGAACCGGACTGGACGGCCTTGACTGAGCAGACGGTGTAGCTGCGTCCTGGAGGGAGTTAGAAGGCGATACGTCGAGGGAGGGAGACACACCTTTGCGCAGCGTCTCGACGTGATACACGATAGGCACGCTCGCGTCCGCGCTGTATAGGAAGTAACACTACCTTGCTCAGTCCCAGTCTGCACCACCCAACCCAACACTTACATGCAACGACTACCCTCAATCAGTTCTCGCACTGTAAAAAGCGGGAAAATGGGCTCACATGGACACTGTAAGCCGGATCGACAGTATTTGTCGCACTCAACAACGCTTGGGAGATGACCTGCCCCCCGAACACGCCCCTGGCCCTCGACGGTAACCAAAGCGATCTAGACCTGAACCTACATAGAGTCAGTAACCCGCGGAGGGAAGGACTGTAGTGAGGAAGGGAGAGAAGGAGGGGACGAACAGGTTTTGTTCCAGCCGCTCTAGGTCTAAGGAAGCGGTGATGAGCTCGTGTTCTGCGCTGTCTTTTTCGGGTGCGTCCATCGTCTCGACTTTCTGCTGCAAGTCTGGTTTGTCAGACACAGTACAAGAAATACTTGTGGTTGGAATGGCAGCGGAAAGATTGGATTAGTGGAAAGGCGAGGTTAAGGATAAGAGAAGAGAACAAGTTGAAAGTGCTTGGATATTGATATTAATATTGACGCCAAGTGACCGGGTATTGCTCAGGGTTCCCCCGATGCGGGGATTCACGTGCTTCAAAGCTTCTACTGTTAATTCCCCCGATGATCGCTTCTACAAAGCCTTGTGCCCAGCACGCGTCCTATTGGGGGCAACCAGTGTCCGAAACAATAACAAAATCTACATCACATCACATCGTCATCATTTTCTCTTTAGCTCTAAGTCCGTCCATCCCCTCCCACAGCTTTCCTACAGTCTGCATCCCCTGCTTCCTCTCCTCTTCAAACTCTGTCATTCCCCACCCTCCATCCTCGCTCGCTCTCTCAATTTCTTCCCCCCACTCGCCCTTCAGCACCTTCCCCACCTTCCCCTCCTTCCTCAGCAACTCCTTCCTGTGCCAGCGTGCCCAGCCTATCTCACTCGTTCCCCCAAATCCAGCTAGGGAGAGCACCACAGTAGGGGGAACAGTCAACCGTCGGTTCTTGAAACAGTACCGGGAGACAGCAACGCAGTGGAGCGTAGAGCCCTCTGGAAGGAGATCGGCGGGGAGCGGAGGAGGGGGGGATCTAAGAGCTGGAGGTTCCTTCGGATAGGAGATGAAGTACGTTACGAGGTAGATCTGTGCTTATCAGCTCAGCACAGGGGGAGGCGCGGCAGACGTACCCATTTCTGATCCCATCCTCCTATCGTCGTGCGCATCTCGTACCGCGCCATAATAGGGATCTCTTTGAAAAATGCATAATGGCCCCCTCCGAGGGCTGTCACCCCCTTCTCCGCATAAAACGCGACCACATACTTCATGAGAAACTGGAATCGGACAATATCCAGCGTCTTGGCATAACTGCTATTGCTCAGATGGCCAAACATGTCGCTGTCGTCAAGCGTTGCGAGACCGGACATGACGTGCAGGGAGTTGAAGGGAGATTGGCCGATAGGGGATCGGAGTTCCGTATATCGCTTGGTGTTCATGTATAGGAGGCGCTTGAACTGCCACCACCAGACATGGGCCCAGAGACGGACTGCAAGCGTCAGTGGACGATTGATGGAACATGAAGAACGTACTGTGCCACATTCCTGGAAAGCTGCGCGCGTTCAGGACGAGCAGGATGATGGCGCCGTACTTGACGAGCTTCCCGAGTGCACTTAGGCTCGGTAAGCCGGGAAGATATCGGAGCAGTGTGTCGAGCATTTTATTGAGCTGAGAGAGCCCGAGACGGGGATGAGAGCGAAGAGTGAGGGAGGGCATGGTTTGAATTATGCTTTGTGGTTGATGGATGATAAGAATATAATTGTAAGAATATTGGAGGGGATGAGGTTGCTGGTAGCGAGATCATAATATGAATCTTTGACCAAATGATCGATGTTCATAAAGCCGAGGAGCACGGTGAAACACTTGGAGAACACAGTAAATGCAGAGGATAAAAGGGCGCACCGTGCCGACCATGCCGACTATAACATCCGAATTTGGTAACCACGAGTCAGAAGAGAAGCATACCTGGCACTGCCACATGGCCTGTCTTTTGGGCATCAGCATCAGAAAATTCCTCAACAATCGCATACTAAACATCCACTCGGGAGACTGCGGATCTCTCAATCCTGGCTAAACTACACTTGCATGCAAAATCAGCTCTTATCTTTTGTTCATCATTTGCTAGCAAGGGACAATCCGAATACTGGCTCATACGTCAGGGACGATGTTGAACAGAAAAATCACATGCAAGGGTATTACAACCGGACTGCATCGTTTCACTCACTTTGTCAGTCCAGTACACGCACTCAATTCCCTCCCAACTAGGCATATGACCGTTTCCTGCTCCGTCGATTGATCCCGCGAACAGTACTCTAGTACTGGGCTTTTTGTCATCCGGGCGGGCGGTGCACAATTGACTGATCGTGATGGCTGTTTACCGTATAAATACCGGAATACACCAGTCAGACGGGGGGCTACATATCTCAGAGTGGGGTCGCTTGCTGCTTGGTCGCGCTTTCCTCTTTGTCTAATAGTACGGTCTGTGGGTTCTATCGAGTCGACGATTGATGGAAATGGTGACACTGCTGGATCTCCTGCCCTCGCTGGGGACAGTACTCAAGTACTTCTTCATCCTCCTGCTGGCGGTCAACATCCGTTCCTTCCCACTAATGTGGCACAGTACGTCCATCCCTTTGCGCTCCACCGCTACTTACGCCCTATGCCCTCCCCCCCGGCAGTCCGAACCCTGTTCGAATCCAACTGGCTCGCGCATTTGCGCCGCTTCCTGTCCGGGAATCCTCAAAAGTTCCTCGAAGCCAACAGTCCAATCGGCGTCTCTCCCTTCTCCTGCCTTCATGTAATGCAAGGACTCGCAACCCCCGACGACTGCGACATGTTCGGGCACATGAGCAATAGCAGTTATGCCAAGACGCTCGATATAATGCGCATGCAGTTTGGCGCGGATTTCTTCCTGACCTGGTTTTCCTCGTATAAGGGAACCTGCCCTATGGGGGCTGCCGACTATTCCTTCATAAAGGAGATCCCGATTATGGGAAGGTATGAGATCAGGAGCACAATAGGAGGCTGGGATCATAAATGGGTTAGCGCCCCTTCCTGAGCAGGAACTACCGCCTGACGACTGATGGAGCAGCTATGCGTCGTATCATACTTCGTCTCCTACCCCAAAATACGCCAATCCGGCTCTCCGGAGCAAGTCCTCACCCCTCCCGCGCCGCTGCCTGCTGCTCTCTTCCCTCCTAACGCGATCCTGCACACCGT